TTAGTGAAACACTTGGCATAGAGTGGATAGGTGTTGATTCTAATGTGTAAACACCTTTAAGTTGTCCTTAGGAACTATATGACTTATATCATTTAAAGATTAAGAATTTACATTCTAATTTAAATATTTTTCTTTTTTTCTATTGTAACAAGAAATTTAGTCATTTTATCTACCTCCTATTTTGAGTTTACATTTAGTTGGTTTTGTTAAAATGGTAGGTGAATGTTACTTACACTGTGACTCTTATGGTTTTCGATGTTCTCAAACTGAAATGTTAATTAATTATTTTTAATATAATTTCAAATGAAACTGAATATCATTCTTAAAAAGAAAAAAAATCAAATTAGCAAACGTTGGTTCCTTCGTATGATTGAGCTTTAATAGGAATTAAAACTAAGCCCAATTCTCATTTATAATTTTGCCTTAAAGGCAATTAAGGCAGAATTATAAAAGGAAATTTATATTGAAACTATAAAAGGCAATGAATAATGTAAATCTTAGTTGGTTGATAAGTTGCCATTGCCTCATTCAAATTCAAATGCTAGATAAATATATTTTGTCAAATTTATTGAAATGATGCTATTTACGTAGTAAGATCAACAAACGATTCGTATTTTTCGGTATTTCTTAATATAAATGCATATCCAATTTGATATTTCATAAACATTTTATTTTTATTATGATAGAAAATTTAATTAACTTATAACCCAATTCAACTGAAAATGTTCATAATTTACTTGAAAGAAGAATAATGCAAATAAAGAAATTAAAACGATCATTTCTTAAATAGAAAAATATAATCTTATCTAAATATGAAAATAAGGTTAAATCCTAAATAAAAAAAAAAAAACTCAAATTAAATAGGAAATATAAAAATATTTGAGAATAATATTTTTAAATTATTAATTAAGGTAAAATATAAAGTATTGTAAATTATAATTATACTATTTACAGTACGTGTGATATTGGCGGGATGTTATCTAGACGCTTATATGGCAGGCCGCCCATCCAATCACAGCTCGTCGGTGCCCTTAGCATTCTACCAACTAACCCACGCTATTAATAATTTTCCTCTACCACTTTGTCTACCCTCAACTATTTCTATTATTCCCACTTTATCCCCAGTACACATCACCTCCTCTCTAGCATCACATTACTTATTTGCCCTTGTATTTGTCCAAAATATGCTTTTTAGCTCTCATTATATCTATTTCCCTTCTTGGTAAAATTACCTTATTGGGCATTTAAAATGTTCTTTCGGGATGGGAGGATCCACAGTAGCATTATAGCAGTCTAGTTTTGGCGTATAAAAGAAATTAATCATTATTTTATGAAAAAGATAACTATTAAAATACATTCAATTTATAAATAAATATTACGCAAAATAGTACTTTGACCACTAAACTTATTCCAAAATTTTAATTTAGTTTATAAATTTTAATTGAAGTAAATTGGACTCTTTAAATTTATGAATTTAATATGGTAAGACATCATTAATTAAACTATTGACTCAATTGCTAAATTTAGAAAATTAAAAGTTAAATTGACATAAATTCAAATTCAATTCAATACTTAAATTACAATCTAATAAATTTAAAGGGTCAATATTACTCAATTTTGATATAGTTATAAATTGGACTTGCTGCTAGCCTTATACGATTTTAACTTGCTAATTGTAGTGAGGGGTTGGTATTACATGAACAAAATGTGATGTCACTTCTGGAAGAGATACCTTTACTTTTCAACTAGGAGAAGGAATAATTTCACATTAAATCGATAAAATTAAAAATTGAATTACATAGATTAAAATTGGACTACGTACAGACTGAGTTTGTTTATTTTAGTTTTGGGCATTTAACTAAATAATTTCTGCAACCAAATTGAAAATCAAAAGTTGAAGTTACTTCATAAATCATTTTAAACCTATTAATTTGAATAATTAAATTGAAAAACTAAATGAATTCAATTCAATTTTTATTTTTCAACATTAAATAATGTATGCTCTTCTCTAATAATTAGAAGAATTCATCTAGATATAGATATGGTAAACATATTGTTTTGTTGCCTAAACATGCAATAACTTATTTATTGATATTTCTTCTATAAGTTTTTTTTACATAGTTAATTGGCCAAATGAAATAATTTTATTTTTAAAAATTTTCACATTGTTTCTCAATTTCTCTAATGCAATAATATTTCACCATTAGCATATCCCTTGCCCAATACTAAAAGGATATCTAGAAAAAAAAAACAACAACAATACCATTGATTGTTTCACAAACATGATTGATTTAAGAATAACAATGATGTAAAATTTTTTAAAAAAGGAAAGGTTTGATGCTGAAATTTAAAGAAGTGAATATTAGAATATAGAGATTGGCTTGATTAGTGAGTGAGTTTATATTCCCTCTATTTCTATTTATAAAATTAATTATAAAATTACTCTCTCTTCCTTCGTCCGCAACTTCAACTTTACTGTTGCAAATATTATAAAATTTTCTTCGTCAGATTTCATGCTCAAATCCCACACATCAATAGATAGTTTCAACACTTGAGGCGACCAAATCTACTAATTGTGCAAGTGTTGACGATAACTGAATTGTTGCATTTAAATGCTATCAGAGCCTGAGATCAATCGTGCTTAATAGACGTCTGAGTTTAGCCGGAGTGGAGACAAAGGCAACGGAGAGAGAGAGGAATTGGAAGAGTTGTAAGTGAAGTGTAAAAAGGACTATGAATTTTTTTGTTAGGAAATTATTCATCGACCAACATTGAAACGAAATGAAGAACTTCTTGATGGCAGACTCCTTGCTTTTTAATGCAGTCTATAATCGCAAATTGGCCTTACAAACCTATAGTAGGTTCGGTTGAAGGAGGCAGATTTTAGCTAGCATGATTTTCAAATTTGAATGATTCAATTAAAATTGAAAATGGCTAAATTAGTGTTTGAAATGGTAAATATTTCAAATCATTTGCTTTCATTTAGAGAGAAATAAAGTGGATTTTTGTATGTCTTTTTAAATAAAATGTCAAAGAGAAAAGGGCTAAAAATATTGCTTTGAAAATCTAAACACATTTAATGCATTTTACGAGCTTTGTCCGCTACTCTTGGTATTTTTATATACTTAATATTTTAGATTTTTACCTTTTAGTAAGTTTATCGAAATAAATGAAACACTCTAATTAGAAATTTTGTCTAAATATACGAATCGGATAAAGTATGTAAAAACAAAAATCAATAGTTATATTATTTTTTTACTTCAAGTTTCTTAAAAGTTAAAGATTATACTGATTCAGTCTGAATAGTCATAAAACATGAGTAAAAAAGATACGAAATTACTATTAATAATACAATTAATCAATAATATAAAAAGTCATATTTTATAAAAATTCATATATATATGGCACATAAAACTTACTATTATAAATCATAAAATTTTGTTGCTCTTTTAATAAACAAAGAGATTTATTTAAATTCTTTTAAATAAAAAATAAAAATAATTATTTTGAATAATAAAATTAATAGAGGTGATATTAAATTTTTCTACTTGGAGATGATATTGATAAAAAGATAAAAAAAAGTAATATTTCAAATGCTTTCATTATTCAATTTGGACCATAAATAAGTTCTCTTATTCTTCCATTGATTGTTTTTCTAAGAAATTGCTAATGTTAAATTATAAATTTTTAATATAAATATATTCGATTATTTAATTATTGATAAATGAACTGGCATTTTAATTTAACAATAAAAATAATAAGATAAGTCTACTTAGCTGAGATAAGTGTTCAAAAGTAACTAAATATAAATATTTTAAGGAAAAAATTAGTTATCAAAATTCAATGTTTTATAGAAAATTACTCTCATAGGAAAGTATATTTCGAAAAAGTAATTTTAATTATACTGAATTATTATAGTATTTGGATAATAATAAAAATTTCTATAAAAATAAAATAATTATATTTGAAATTATCCAAAAGTTATATATATATGTATGTATACACACATTAATGAAATGAAATTTTTACAATATTCAATTAATATGAAATACAAATATTTTGATAAACTATTTATAAATATGACTCATCGAAATATCTTTATCTCGTAAAATAAAATATAGTTTTGATTATCATAAATAACAGTAAATATCATATTGAACTAAATATTTTATTATGAAATATATTAATGTTATTTTATTTTTAAAAATATCTTATTTAATCAAATTACTTGTAAGAGAGAATAAAAGAGAAGAAAAGAGATTAGTAAAAGAAAAAAAAGAGAAAGAGAAGAAAGGGGTAATGTTGTAAATGGAGAGGGTGCAGAAAGCATGGGCAACAAAAATGTTATTTGGAATGGCAAAAAAGGGCAATGACGGAATCTAACCTAACTAAAGTACACAAACAAGCATACGTTCCCTTTCTTTATCTCTCTAATAAATAAATAAAAAAAAAAAAAAAAACCCATTAACAAGGTAACCATATTAGCATTTAGCACCACCCTCTTAAAAATGCCAACGCTCTAAAATAAACCCCAACGAAAGGTGGTAGATGCATGAGCCACAGCCACAATATAGTTTCTCCTGTCTCTCTCTCTCTCTCTCTCTCTCTCTCTCTCTCTCTCTTCTTTGACTCTTTTCACCACCTTCTCCTCCTTCAATCCCATAACCCCTTTTCAGATTTCACCTAAAACCTCTTTCTTTCTCTCGGTTTCTACGCTTCTGTCAACCACCAACACCACCACCACCTCCACCACTATCTCCACCTTGTATCTGAGGTAAAAGACCTTGACTTTTGTTGTTTTATCTCTTCCTTCCTGTTGTGGGCTAGCTCTGTATTTTGCTTTTAGCTTTTCAAAGATTGTACATGGTTTTTGGTTGGTTGGTGTGTCAACTCTCAGTTTGGTCATGGCCATTTTGCTTTATGGGCCTAAAAAGGGGCAAAGACCTCTGCTTTTTATGTTGGGCTTTTGTGGGTTCCTCTTAGATTTTCATATTTGTAGCATTTTTTGTATGGGGTGAGGGGGGTTTAGTTTTAGTTTTAGTCCTTGGCTTCGGGTATGATCCTATCTAATCCTCCATGAAAGGTGGTAGGTTGATGGGGGTTGACTTCTTTGCCGAGCAGAGAGGGAACTGCAATTCTTCTCCTGCCAATTCTTTGGGCGTCTCTATTATTCGAATCCCCGTTTAGTGCTATGAGTGCTGTCGGTTTTATTTATTACCAATTTATCAATACAAGATTTTTCGATTTTTACTTTCCTAAGCTGGCCTTGTCTCTGTCACCTTGTCCTTTGTTTACAATTTGATTAACTTCTATTGTGAAAAGATTCTTGAGCCAAGACAAGTATTATTATTATTATTTTTCCACTTGTTTGTTCACATTGTAGAATTGAATGTGGGAATGGATTCTCTAGTGTAAGTAACATCTACAATCAAACTGCACATTTCTTAGCCAGATATAACTACTGGGCTTTTTGCTTTACTTTCAAGGGAATCGTTACTTCTTTTTTTTTTTTTTTTTTTTTGCGGTCCTCTCATTATCTCGGAATCCCCGTATTCAGTGCTAATGAGCGCTGTCCAGGTGTCTTATTCTTTACCCAATTCTAGTTCCAAATACCAAGATTTTTCGATTTTTTACTTTTCCCCTCAAGCTGGCCTTGGTTATTCTCTGTCACCTGTACACTTTGTTATACAATCTTGATTAACTTCTATTGTGAAACAGATTCTTGAAGCCAAGACAAGCTATTATTATTATTATTGTTATCACCTGTCTTGTCCATTGTAGAATCTGACATGTGGAATGGATTCTCTAGTTGTAACAGTAAAACATCTACGAACTCAACACTTGCAATTTCTTAGCCCAGATTATAAACTACTGGGCTTTGCTTCTACTTTCAAGGGAACTTCGTTACCTTCTTTTTCTTTTTTTTTTTTTTTCTTATTGATTTTTCTCGGTCTAAGCTTGATGGTGTCTGAGCCACCCTAAGCCCACTAAGCCCAGCCCTTACTTCGCCCCGGGTGACAGCCCTCCTTTTATTTGGTTTGTGTTTCGGAGTATTTCTAGAAAGATGCAACGGTCATTTCTTAGCTACCTGTTTTTAGGACCCATGTTGAAAAACTTGAAAAACCATACTATAATAAAATAAGAGTCGGGTCGTGCTAAAATATAAGTTCTCGAATTTCATTTTCAATATCCGAAGGCAAAATACCTCAATTTACACGTCTTGGGGCTCTTTGGCCACTATATAAATGAGGTATCTCACCACCACAAAACTTCCACCTATTCCTACCCCTGGGAGTTTTTAATTATTGAGTTAATATTTATACCTAGATGACGACAACTATTTCCTCTCCATGTAATGGAGCTTGCACATTCATAATTAATAAAGCCCAATCCCGCCCATAGCATTTAAACAACTTCTTCCCCACACACCTCTAATGTATTAGGTTTGCCCTTACCCATAAGGTAGAAGTTCCTCACTACATGTAAACGCCTCTCAGGAAGAATTTAAATAGTTAGGAAGATGTATCCAATTATTGAAATTTCTTGCGGGTCATTGCCTGCACATTACGGAATACGCAAGGCTTTTTCATGGACAATATTCAATACCAAGCTGCCTCTTTATCCTCCCGCTCCCAATAAAAATTGTAAAACTCTTGTAACCACGTTTTGTTCTTGTCAAATAAATGCAATATAGTTCAAAAGGCTTTTTATTGTCCCTAGAACTTAGTTGTGTCCTTTACCTGATCCTAATCAAAACGTTTTAACCGCTCTCTTATAAAAACCAATTAGCTATTCCGGTCATTTCCTGGGCCGAGCTCCCTTCTTCTATACGCCTCGCATTTCATTTATGTGCGCTGTCCACTCTTTTAAATATATTTTTTTTTTTTTTCCCTCTGGTTTTTCATTTGGAGCACATTATTTATTTTTTCAAGTAGTTTGGTAATAGATCTTCTTGCCGCTTCTTACGTAGCCAACGTCCTCACAGGTAAAGCGTACGGCGAGGTGTGTATAAAAATACTAGGGAAGAGGACCTCTCACCCTCCGTCCAAAGGCCCCTATCGACTTTGTGCGGCTCGAGCACCCGAAGGACTATAAAGTCCCCGCCCACAAGCTATGGTCTAAGAGCTTACCGGGAAGTTTTTTTTTTTTTTTTTTTTTTTCTATTGATGTTTTTCTCGTTAAGTTGGGTGTTAGCACTAGCTAGCAGCTTACTTCCGGTGAATCTTTTTTTGTTTGTGTGGTTAGATGAAGGTTGTTGCTCGGTAGGACTTTGACTTGAAACTTATAATATGGGGTGTAAAAGTTTCATCTTTCATACGAGCAATCATACAGCTTGGGGCTTTTGGCACTTAAATGGACTCCACTCACATTCTCTGGGAGTTTTAATTATGAGTTAATAGTTATAGTGAAACTTCTCTGTATGGATTGCATATTACTAAGCAATCGCATAGTTTAACAACTTCTCTCAACACTTATGTATAGTTTTACATAGGATTTTATTCCCTTATGCTGGGATTAATAGTTGAGATTATCCATATGATTTGGGTTTGAAGATACCAAGATTTTTCATGAAAACAGCTGCTTTATCCTCAAAATTGTATTTCATTTTTTTTTAAAATATTGTTAAAACTTTTTATGCCAAGTGCTTGCAATAAGTTTCTTTTTAAAACAATTGTATTCCTTTTCTGGTCCTTTTATCCTTCTAGTGCTGTCCATCTAATCTTGTTTTCATTTGCATATTTTTTATCAGTTGTAATAGATCTTGCCTTTTGTGATCCAAGAAGCTAGGTGATAAATGCTGAGGGCCCTCGTCCAAGCCATTGTGGGCTGAGACGAAGGCTATAATCCGCAATGGTTAGCTTACGGAGGCGTAAACTCTTGGGACTATGTGCTGGTAAACACTAATAATCCATTTCATGTGAAATAAATGATTGTGTATGTTGAATTAGCCAAATTAGATGGTACCATATCCTTTCGAGCAGCATATTCACTTAGTAGCAGTTATGCCTAAATGGTGTTCTTCTGTTCTTTTGAATTGCTGTTTGTCCTAATATATTCTTGAGTAGATTCATTGTCTTGATATTTTGAATTCATTTAAAAGGCCTTTGTAACTAAATAAACTATGTTGGAATTTATAAGGTAGTTAAAAGAATTTAAGGCTTTTATATCATGCGTGAATAGTATTATTTATCAAATTAATGGGTCTTTGCAGGGAGAAGTTCTTTCTTAACTCCACTTCCTCGATTTTTTGATCATGGAAATACTCCTGTAAGCTCTTCCCACAGTGCCAGGTGTATCAGTGTGCATCCCCTGCCGACAGAAGATGTCAAGGAGCCAGGGGAGGTAAAGATAGCTTGTGATTTCTATTTATTTTCATAGTATGCATGGTGGAGAGTTGTTTTTTTTTATTTTTTTTTTAAGGCTGTAAATGTAGCATTGTAGATACTGGATATGCTGGATGTGAATTTTTATTTACATATGTAATGCCAATTTTATTAAAGCTCAAGGTTTTAAGGATGGAGTGTGGTTCGAGGGCCAGTTTGCATGGTCTGCTTTACAGAAGAGAGTGAATTAGGATGCTATTTAGTCCCGTACTGTTAATGATTGTGCCATAGCTGGATGCTTTTGAAGTATAAGGTTCCTGATGCTAAGGGAACATAGATTGGGGTGTTGAGGTGCCTGTTGCTTCTTAAGCTTTGACATGGAAAGTCAAGTTTCTCCCTTCAAGACTTGCTTTTATGTTTGTATAAAGGATTTTAAGATTATAGATTTGTGGGCAACCATTGTGTGCAGCCAATAGTATGACTTGTTGCTGTTGTATGATGGCAAAATGATATGAATCTTGTATTCTCTTTAATAAGCGCATGGGATTTTGTAACTGTATTGATATAGATGATGGAAAGTGTTGTGTATCGTAAGATATATGTACTTAAAATTTCTATTTCAAATCCTACAATATCTAAATGCATTATATTGTTCAATGTTGTTCACCAGAAATCAATTGTCAAAATTGGAGATGGTTCTTCAAATGTATCAGCCTCTAACTCATCAAAAGAGCAGCAACCTCAATCATATCCAGGTTTGTCTATTTAGAGAAATTCTGATTTAATATGACTGATTATGCAGAACTAAATATCAATTGCTGAACTAGCTCTATAAGTCAATATTTGGTTTCTTCTGGCAAACTAGTTCTTAAATTATGTGGATATTTTTGCTTAAATACCATAGACTTAGGCGTACAACATACACTGCCAACATATAGTTCTCAGAGATATGTTAATTGTAATGTACTGAGCAAGATGATGCACAAGAAGATAGAAGTGGGACAAGATTGGAAATGATGGAGGGATAAAGTGATGCAATTGGTTCCAACAATCTGTGTGGATTGGTTTCAGATAAAGGGCACTATCATCCTCTCATAATAGTCCTAATGCATTGGAAAGTTTGTTTTACAATCTGGAGTTGTAATGAGGAAACACACTGGAGTTCTTCATCCATGATAGTCATGGATATTGTGAACAGGAATACTTAATAAAGCCTCAAGTATTAAGAATTCTTTATCCAAGTCTAGGATAATTCGTTCCTCAAACTTATGCTTTTATTTCTCAACACAATGATTTCCTCGTAATGTTTCTTTTGTTGAAGAAATGAAATCAAGCAAATGTGATCTTTTTGGGCCTTTTGTAGGGGTGTTACTTGGATGTATTTGACAGTTGGAATATAAGATCTTGTAATATAACCAGAAAAAAAAAAAGAGCTGAAGGTGTCAAAATTTGACTGGTTGGGTTGAAGGTCTTGGTGAACTGAACCAGTAGAACCAGTAGAGATCATTTAAAATATATATTTTGAGCATGGAATTCGAAGATACTGGAGAGGAGAGATTTCCTTACCATGAATGAGGAGCAAAGTTAATAGTTGGATCAACTAGCTAATTAATGTACCTGTTCACAGGAAGAGGCACTGAGGGCATATTTAATTGTAATGCAATGTAAATTGCAAGCTGGAAGTCAGAAGAAAGTTTTCCACTAGAACCACAAAGTTCCACTACTTAATTGTGATTTGATGATGTAGGCTATTCAGGTAATAAGTCATTGTCATTGGTAATGTGGTGGCGCTAGGTAATAATGTTATAATTCTTCCTATTATCATGTGGCCAGTCACTTTAAGTACCAGTTGGCCTTTTGAGATCACCCTGCTTTGGATTTTTTTCTGATGTTGTCATCTCAGAGTTTAATTTGCATGCCATTTTCCCCCCTTGAATCTAATGTCCTTAGGGGCTGGGTTAGGGAGGAGATGGGGTGCAGAGATGCGATTAGCTAAGAGAACTTGGCACTCAATAATTATTGCTTTGTTATATTTATTTGGTGAGAATAATTACATATAATATTGAGTTATTTTAATGTTTTGTTGTGTTTATGTGGTAATTATGTAGGAATAATTATAGGAATAAGTATGACTTTCCTAACCAAACTCAATCAGATCAAACCATTCTGTTCTACAATAGGAGGCTTAATATTTTTCCAGTGCTTTGCGTCCTCGGTATATCATAATAGGAGGGCCTCTTTGCATTATGAACTTTCTCCTCTGTTATAATCATTCAAAGGCATATCTTTCTTTGACTCCTTAACAGAAATATGGACATAGATTCATGGGCGTGAATGGCTTGTTAGCATGGTTAAGAAATTGATCCTTAGCAACAAATTTATTTGAGAAGTTGCTATATTGATTCTCATTGAGAGTGCTGAATGATCTCTATCTCTCTTTCTCTGTCTTCTCTCTGTGTGTTTTGTGTGTGCCCTATCCTTGAGAAATAATGCTCCTTAAGTGGATACTGATGCTTGAATGTGCCTGCCACTTACTGTACCGTGTTTGTTCATACAAAGACTATTTCGGCTGAGCAAGGCTTTAATATGAGCTAGTACTCTTTGGCTTTGAACTTCAAACTGTGTCTTGACTCAGCTAAAAGCATCATAAGGTTAGAATCAACTTGCTGCTGCTTGGGATCCTTATGGCACAGAAATGAGCTTGGTCATTTTTATAGCTCTGCTTCTTGGGATGAATGAAATATGAAAAAAGAAAAGATTCTTTAATTGCATCGAATTGCAAGTAATTAAAGCACTTATTGGTTTATATGTACTTAATTAACAAGATTTCAAACTGAAATTACTCTGAAGTTTTAACCCATTTTTATCAGTTGTATTTTGCTATTATTATGTCTCTCTAACTTGCAGCTGGCAAAATTAGCATCGTTTCCAACAAACCATTAGTAAATCATTAAATGAAATCACAGGCTTAATTAGTAGCCTTGCTATCCATCTATCCACTATTCATTCTCTGTATGGATACCATTAAACATATACAAGCATTGTTATTGGATTCTTTTACCATTTAGTTTTTCATAGCTTTGTAATCCTGACTTGGAGCCTTTTAGATTTCATCATTACTAATTAATTCTTGTTGATTTAATAATATTCAGAGATCAGAGGAAATTGCTGTTTTGAGAATCATTATAATAGGACACAATGAAGAGATTCACTGTTTCAGATGTTACATATGAGTGTTGCCACTTGTTAGATCACTATTGAAATGCTGTTTGATATCCTTGAAATGGAATCTCTGGTGTTTGAGAGGCAGAAAAATCAGTTTGATCTTTGAAGAGGTCCTTTATTTCAAGCAATATATCTGGGACTACATGTGATAGAGAAGTCCTGGTTGTAGTAGTCCAATCCTTTATTTCTCAGTAACTGGTGTTCCTTTCAGGGTTTCATTTAGCGAACAACACATATTCCATATTTTCCCCTTCTCTTGAGTTTATATATGTGCAAAAAACTGCCTTTTTTGGGGATGCTTGTTTTGCTCTTGATTTTATATTCTTGGCATTGAACTATATTTCATTTTCTCTTTTCATTGCTTTATCTATGCAACAATATTTCTTTAAGCAAGTTCTTGATGTGGTTTTGGTAAATGATTGATTTGTTAACACCTTCAAAATGTGGGAGCTTTCTAAGCTAACATTATTTTTTCATTTTAGAGCAACCTGTTAAGCGTCGAAAGCGACACAGGAGAAAGCACGTTCAGAACCAGGAGCAATGCCTAATGAGAGGTGTCTATTTCAAAAATATGAAATGGCAGGCAGCAATTAAAGTTGACAAGAAGCAAATCCACCTGGGAACTGTTGGTTCACAAGAAGAGGCTGCCCGTTTGTATGACAGGTAGTGACCCGAACTTTGTAAATTTTGTAATAAAGATTCCCTTTGTTTGAGCTAAATGCCACAAAAGTAATATTGGTAGATGAAATCTTGCTAATTGATACAGAAGGTGTCATCTCTTTTGAAAGAGAGAAGTATGGCACCTTTGGTCAGCATATGCAGTACATTTCATTGTTTGAAGATGTTCACAATTATTTATGGGAAGTCCTGTGCAAAATGGTTGTGGTTGTGGGTGACTGAGGTGTATTGACCATTAAAATTTATGAATGAATAGAATGAGACCTTCTCTTAGTTCATAGTAAGAACCAGATTCTAGGGTCTTACCTTGGAATTGTTATATATAGTGATCTCTCATGTGCTTAGACAGCACGTGTAAACAACAATGGACCAGAAACGTAGGCTTGCTGTTATATGATAAAAAAAGTGATTTGCCCCTTGTATTCCCCCCCCAAAAAAAAACCCGACAATTCTGGTGGTTTCTTTTGGCTTTCTAAGTTCTGAAGGTTAGGCTTATATTTTCAAATATGGGACTGGGATGGTGTTCCATGCATCTCCCGACATGCTAAGCTAATACAACAAATTTTTTTTTTTCACAGTCCCATTATTTACAGGAAGAGCCTCATGTGAACTTTAGCTTAAAGAAACTCATAAAACTCACCGAAGGGTTTTGTATCTGCAGGGCTGCGTTTATGTGTGGGAGAGAACCCAACTTTGAACTGTCTGAGGAGGAGAAGCAAGAACTTAGAAAATTTAAATGGGATGAATTTTTGGCAATTACTCGCAGTGCAATAAATAATAAAAGTAATAGTCTTTCATCAGTGGTCTTTATTAGTCGTTATCTTTATCTACTGAATCTTTAATGGATTTTTTCATAATCCATTATCCAGAGCACAAGAGAAGAAATGGAGCCAGTTTGCCTAAGAAATCTGAAGCTACATTGCAGAATGGCGATTGGGATGACAAGCAAGGAGTTAACAGCTTTTCAGCTTCAGAAGATGTGGAGCCAGACTCGTCGACATCCTGAACATTTTGGTTTCAAAAGAGGCTAAACATTTCAGTTCTGACAGTCCAGCTTTAGCTTCTTGGCCTCCATTTTTTGGTGTACAAAGTTCTCTACAGGGCAGATGAAGGTAGACAACATCTTTGAGTAAGCAAGCAGATTTTTACAGTTTTAACTCAATAAAGAGACATATAGGCATAATATTTAATGTCACTGTCTGCAATCACCTTCATCTTGCAGAGCTGTTAAATATATAGCTAAATTACTTACTTTTTCCTTTTCTTTTTTTCTTTTTGGTACCCATCGTGGAGGTTGGAAACCACATAATGCTAGAGGAACTCTGTTTGAAGAATTTAAATTATTATTAATCAAAAATTCAAGTACTGTATTCATTAATCAGTAATATGTTCTCTACATGTTAGTAGTATTTGGCGGCAGCTACGAAAGCTGAAAAGGCATATAACTAGGTTATTTGATGTCTAGACAGCCATGTCTGACAACCAAATGTCGCTTGTTAGTACTGCAATTCTGAGTTTTGCCTAGTTGAGTTCAGCTATGGCTGCGGTTGGGGTCGGGAAGGTGACTTGAGATTTCTGTGTTAAAGGCGGCAGTTGAATGTGTCCTGCAACAGGTTGATTGCTATATTTTGCATCTCCATGACAATTTTCCTGTCTCTTCTTTTCTGCTTTGCTTATAGGGGAAAATAGCACTAGTGACCTGCACCTGAAATTACCTTAGATATGCGGGCTTGTAACTGGGATAATATAATTATGTTATTAAATTGAATTTCTCATTATATAGATTAATAAATGACATGTTAATTGAAGTTCGAGTTTTCTCGAATATGAGTTTTTACCAATTTGATGAGTTAAGGAATGACTGTTTTTATTATATAGTTCGCATTGTTATTTCGGTCCATTTGACTCTCAACAAATACAAAAAAATAAAAATGTCTGTAAAATTGTCTATGTAATGTAACTAAAATCATTTCTAAATAATAATAATATATACATTTTATTCAGCATTATACAGTATTTGTCAAGGACAACCCAAAGTAGGCAGAATTTTTTTTTAAACAATAAAATACTTTTTAAATTTATAAATGCTTAAAAATTTAACAATAATATTAATGTTTCAAAATCAAGGGCTTTTTTGTCATTTAATCAAAATTACATGCATTTATTTCATAATTTTATTTTTTTTTGGAATAATGATTGGATCAGGCTTGGTCAATGAATTTAGGCAAGAGATCAAGTTATGGTGCTAAACCCGAACCGGACCCGACACCATAATTACTGTAACAGAGTAACCTGACGATCTCTTGCTTCTCCTTCCTCTGCCAAAGTTTTCAGTCGACTAAAATCGAACTCAATTTAGTTTTCGTCTTTCTTTAAAAATGGCATCAGGCGATTCAAAACCCTCACAAACTGTGGCCACGAATCCGCCTCCGCCACCGCCAACATCATCTTCTTCGTTCTCTGAAAATTGGAAGGAGCGGATGTTCATCCCAACTCTACTCGCAGGTTTTTTTCCCCCATTCTTTTGGTACCCATTTCTTCTTTTGATTATAAATTTATTAAATTTGGAGGTGGTGGTTGTTCTTTTTAGGAATTGCCGGTGCAGGTGTCGGGTTGGTGTCAAAGCATCGAAAAGTTCATGGACTGGCAAATATTTCTGCGTTGTATGCTGCTAATTTTGCCATTGTTACTGGTTGCTATTGTGGTAATAATATCTCATTTCTCTATCATCTTTCCACAGATGTTGAATGAAGTACTAATTCTGTTGTTTTGTAGGATTTCCCCAATGATGAAGATGATATGCTTTTTTTTGCCTTTAAAAATTAATGTAAAAGACGCTGGGACTTAAAGTTTCTGATTGGAAGAATGCCTTTGCACTTGAACCCACTCTACATATTTTGTTATTGTTTTGGTTTTCTATATCCTGGCGCAAAGTTGGTTGTTTTATTATTACTATTACAGCCACTATAGACTGTGTAATTGCCACTATATTTCCTTGAATGCCTGCGAGAATTGAAAGTAAGAGGATCTGAGTTCCAATGCTTTCATTTTTCAAGCATGCCGAGTGATAGTCATGAGATGTTTTGATATTCTTCTTTGGAGAGGATCCTTTGTGGTGGATTTAGGATTTATAATCATGTCTTATTTTGGGAGAAACTTTTTTCTGTGCATTGGTTATATATAATTCTCTGAATGGTTCTTTTAAAACTATAATTAATATTTAGCAGTCTCTTGTCGTTACTATTTACTAGAAGTTGTTATATATTTGTGATATGGTTTGAGGAATGTGTTATGGTCTTGACATGTGGTTGTTGAAGGCTATAATTGTTGGTGTTGGTGTTGGAAACATACATTTGAGTTGTTGACAACTTTAGGACTAGCTTTTTTTCTTATTCCTGTTTCTTTGAATTAGAAGTGTGATTCTGGAATTCTGCATTTGCAGGGGCCCGGGAATTTGTGAGAGTAACTCGGAAATCAGAACCCGATGATCTAATAAACTCGGCGATTGCAGGATTTGGTAGTGGTGCTCTTCTTGGACGTCTTCAAGGTCAACTTCTGTTTATCAATCTCTGTCTTTCGATCAAACATTTGCGCATGTGTCTGTGGACACTGTTTGTTTCTTTTTCCATTTTTTCATTAATTTGTAAGGTCTAGCTTGCTTCATTTGCATGCGATGATAAATTGGAAATTTAGCTAGGGCACCTGCTTTAATTTAAGGATTTTAGAACTTGCATACTTTTTAATTTCATAGAATCATTTTCAACCTTCATAATTGAACCATCTAAAGAAATGAACAATTTCAATGATTTCTACCATCTCCTTTGTTTTCTCGCACATGGGTTTTTCTCCAGCTCCGCAGAAAGGTTGACTGCAAAATAGTGATCCACCTGTAAGATTGAATGTTGATATCTTGTTTCTGCATTTTCCATATAAAAGGCAAATCTAGATGTTTTTTCATTTTGGATAAATGCTTTGGACTGTGATATGATATGACCTATAATCAAGCCATGCGTTTGATGCTTTAATTTTAAGAATCCATTCTTATAGATTTATGCTTCTTGTTGCTGGATCTGTTATATATTTTTATTTTAATATATCAATCTGTCATCAAAGTGTGGAGAACCGCCATCTAAAAGAAATGATACAGATGTCAAAATGAATTTCCTACCATCCAGGCGTCGTTTTGGTTTTTCTCGCACATGGGTTTATTTCTCTCTCTCAGCCTGCGGTGAGAGGTGAGTGAGAAAGCTCACGCTCGCGACTCCACGGCTGTAAAGATCTCGAACTGGTTTGATAATCTTTGTTTTCTTGCTTTTTCGCCATACTCAAAAGGGCAAATCTAGAATGTTTTTTTGTGTCATTTTGATAAATGCCTTTGGACTGTTGATGATGATACTGAACGTCTAACGTAATCAAGCAATGCGTTTGATGCTGTTTAAATTTAAGAATCCATTCTTATGAGTTTATGCTTTCTTTGTTGTGATCTGTTTGAGTGAGAGTTAGGTTTTTAGTGAATTCTTATATATACCTCATAAGGGTGGGTGAGGCACCGTCCCCAATTGTGACGGTACCCGTATCATATTCTATTATATATAGTAGGTATTAATAGTCTGCGTGTGTAGTGAGTGGCGTGAGTGTGTTACATGATATATAATCTCTGCTTATTCATGCTATTATGGCATCGAGCGGATATAATGACAAAGCATTCATTTAGAACCCGCCTAGTTTGGGATTGAGACTAGTTGTTGTTGTATTGTTGCTGGATCTGTTATACGTTGCTAAAATGGGACTAAATAGTTCCTCATTGAGATTTGAGAATGTTGGCCAATATTGGGGCACAGATTTGCAATGCATTTCAATTTGGTGCCTTCGTACATATGAAACATCTTAGATTTTTCATTTCCACTTATCTTCATCTTCCAGTATAGTTGAATTTTCTTTTTTTTTTTTTTTTTTTTTTTTTTGACATTTAGGTGGTGCAATTTGGCGCATGACCGGCTATTTGGACGACGAAGGTCATTTTTTTGCTGACCTTTTGGTGGGAACAACAGTAGAGGTTTTGCAGGCTATTAAGACTAACAGACCGCAGCTTAGAGAAGGTTTCAGAGAGATCCATGATACCGGGGACACGAGGGAAGAGATAAGAAAGATGGTTGGTGTTAAAAGTTGGCGCGGAGTGGTCTCCGCAATTCAAGTACTTGATGAGCGAGGCCCTTGCAGCTAAGAAGCTAGAGAGAAGCGCTCTACATATCGAAGAAGAGCTTATTACTGAAATTTTAAGCCAAAGAAGAGCTTGAAGAAAACTTTTATTGTCTTTTGGAACATGAAAATGTTGTCAGCTTTAAAAATACTCGGATATAAATCCATCTCGTTTGCCCTCTGTTTCAGCTGATAGAACATAATTTGACAGGATGAACTAATTTTTAAGCTGGGTGGGTGTGTGGAAGAGGTTGTGGACTTCGCGCTTCTTTAGAATCGATGGTCTGTGTATGAGCATGTCTTGCAGTCCTTTAAGTTACTGGTATTCGGTGTTGATGAAATACACTGCCATACTATGTTAGGGGCTATTTGATTCTTTGATTGTATAAGATGTTATATCAACCGACTTTTAGGAATTAGCTTTCTTTTTTTTTTTTTTTTTTTTTTTTTTGACATTAGGTGGTCAATTTGGCGCATACCGGTATTCGATCATTTTTGCTCTTGTGGGAACAACAGTAGATTTTGCAGCTATTAAACTAAGACCCAGCTTAAGAAGTTTCAGAGAATCCATATACGGGGACAAAGAGAAGAAAGATGGTTGGTTTAAGTTGCCGGAGTGGTCTCCCATTCAAGTACTTGATGAGGAAGCCCTTGCAGCTAAAGAAGCTAGAGAAAAGCAGCTCTACAATCAAAGAGCTTTTACTAAATTAAGCAAAGAAGAGTCTTGAGAAAACTTTATTTTCTTTTTGAACATGAAATGTTGTAGCTTAAAATACCGAATAATCCATCTCGTTTGGCCTTCTTTTCAGCTGATTAGAATTTGACAAGGATGAACTATTTCTTAAGCTTTTTGGGGAGAGGTGTAGGGTTCTACTTTGGTTATCATGTCATTTCCTTATTCTGGTATTGTTGATATACCTGCCAATACATGTAATGAATTTTATAAGTTTATACCAACTTTTAGGAATTAGCTCTTCAGTACTCGGATCTCAGTCAATAAACAAGCAAAAACGAGTAAAGTATAACCTGCTTCATCAACTTGCCATCATTTGATCTTTCAATCCTCAAAAATTCTAATTAGGAATCTTGAGAATCAATCTGAATAATTGAATATTATTCACTTTCAAGAGCGTTGATTACCCAGCAGGCCCTCGGTTGGCTTAGTAGAAGGCAGTGAATGCATTTCAACTCTAATGGAGGATCAAGGATTTCAGAGATTGGTGATGAGAAAGATGACTAGAAACAGAAATTTTAATGACAGTGCAATTTCCATGAGAAAAAAATGATGTGCGCAAGTAGCAAAATATCTGTCCTAAGGTTGAAATTTGCATTACTAAAAGCATCATGTACAAAATGTTCATTACAACAAACAAAAGCAAAAACAGGAATATAATCTTGGCCACTGCTTTTCATTTACACTCAGCGAGTTAATCCAGGCCTAATAGAAAACTATCGCACGACCAACGATCTACTCCTTCACTCCACGGTTAAACTGCAAGGACCTAACATTTTTATGCTCTCAGGATCTTATGAAAGCAGAGAGACAAGAGATACAAACTCGTGTGTTACACGACCCTTGGACCTCGTGTTGATGACAAAGTGCTCCGGGTATTTTCTTAGTAACATAAGCAAGCCATACCAGGGTTTTCCCTTGGATTCAGGACCAGAAAAGTCCTCAGATGTGAGATACCTCCTTACCCGACTATGATGCCAGACGTTGCTAAATTGCTCCAACAACTGAATGACAGTTAAAACCACAAAGTAAGCAAGCAAAAACAACCTAAGTGTTTCACATGAGTAACTAAAACCAGTTATAAAGGAAAGTGTGTTCAGAGGCCCGGGACACAACACTCTTTAGCAAAATATGAAGTGATAACAAAAGCCCTTGGACATTATTGTACATTGTTATGCTATCTACCATTTTTGAAGTTAAGATTTGTGTCAATGAAGATCAAGGCTAAAATGATTCATAGAACTAAAGATCTGACCTCTTGTGACACAACTTATGACATTCATTGATTATAAAGGACAGCATTCATTCTTAAGTTGAAACAACTTAGCTCTGAGTCTGGCAGAAAAGGACCCCTTGCTATGCTGTAATATTTAAGGGAAGATCACAATACTTCCCTTTTAAGGGGCAATATAAAAACTTGGCCATTGCCAAAATTTCTTTGCAACTGAATAACTTCTGTAAACATCATGCAAATTAAGCAACCTTATCCAACATATAATTTGTTAAAATGACAATCTTCAATATAAGAGAATGCCATCCTTCACAGGAAAAGCATTTGAAGCGGGTAACCAATAGAATCTAAACTAAAGGGATTGAAGGGGAAGACTCGAGAGTTCGAATTCTTCCAAATATCATAGTGCATGCTCTGATTGAAACTTGATCAGCCATGATGGATTATTTGATAGTGATTAAGGATCTAATTTGAATGCGCGCGAGCGCGCACAGACACGTGTATGAGGCATTTGACAAAGTTATTTAGTGACAGAGGTGGGTTTAGCAAGTGTGCAACCAAGAAAATAAGTCATTAGAAATACTAATTGAAGACAGCAACTAACCTCAGCATGGAGTTTCTCCATGGGCATCCATTCTCCAGGTCCACAAAGATCAGACAGCACAGTAGCCACAGATGACACTACATCTTTCTCCTCCAACTGCAGAAGTTGCTGATTGTCGGAATCCCGATCAATCCTTGATCTTCCATCCATTTTCTTCTCTGCAGGAACTGGGCATGGTACCATGATAAAAATAGAGAAGTTATTTAAGTAGAATTTGTACTAAATAGAATTCTTCGCATTTGAAGTATAAATTGAACAAGGAAGCAATCTATTGATGTTAGGTTGCGATGAATGATAATTTGGACTTTTGAAGGTGTGAAAACAACAAGAGAGAAAGACTTTACTGCCATGAGCCAGGACCTAAGTTATATGAAGTGTGGATCACTCCAATACTTGGAACAAAAATGCGAATGTCAAATGCCCTTTTCCAAAATGTGTTAAGGTGGGATACATTTCAGATTGCTTAGTGGGACAAGATACGTTAATCCAGAAAGTAAAGCAATTTCCTGCATTGCATGAACAGTGAAATATGTGCAAAATATTATATACTAGAATGTAGTAAGAATTGCCACAAGGATTTCATCTAATAAGTACAGCGAATTGGTTTCAGTTAAAATCCTACATTAAAAACTTCAATGCTAGCAAACGTATCCAAATCCACCAACATAATACTATTGAAGTTAGGTGAGACTTGGGTCACTAAGATTTTTCGACTCTCCATCCATGGTTTATATTTCGGAAAGCAATTTTGATGTGTCAATTTCCTAACAATGCATAATCTGGATTATGCAATCCAGAACGCAAATCACAGTGGTTGCAGCAATTTCTGGTAACACTGTTCAGGAATCCATCAAACATTTGCTTTGCAGAACATTTCAAGGCAGAATTCCATTCTCTAAAGACACATCACAGAAACTATAGGCACCATCACATTCTTGAGAATACTAAGAAATGATGAAAGAAACTGATTCATAAAATACTATAAATGATTTTAAACACCATAGTACCTTTTTTTAAAAAAAGGAAAAAGAGGACTTATCGCAAATGATACAAATGTCCTTTCAGATAGATGGTCATATCAAAAGTTCATGCATTTGAATTTGACATCATGTCGACTTTTATGATCTTCACTTGAAAAATAAATCATGTTCAGTCATTTCCAATGACTATCTATCCAAATGGATACTAAGGAAATATATATTTTTTTTTTTTTTCAAAATAACCATTAACAAAGAGAACTGATAATAAAACCTCATGCAACGTATGCGATAGATAGATGATATAATCTGTCTATATAAATTACAAATTTCTTTTCAGACTCAGAGCACATGTAATCATTATGTGTTATAGAGATTAGCCCTAAATATGACTGTGGAAATCAAAAGACCAATTTGGCTCCTGTCATCCAGGCAAATTGAGAAGAAAAGTCAATATGTTGCACTTTTGTTTGAGGATTTTACTTTATATAGTTCAGCCAAAACCAAAAAGTAACCAACCTCAAAGTTGTTGCTCCTAACAACAGGAAAAAAAAAAAAAGATGAAAGGAGAACAAATAGAAGAAAATCCACCACAAGAACAAAGCCATGAACAAAATGCCCCAGCAGGAGGAATGCCAATCAATCATTGACAATAGCAAACTAAAAAACATTCCAAATCGTAGTGTGTGCATAGATTTCAAACACACAAATCAAGAGTCGGTCAAATTTGAGTTTTCCAGCCCAGTTCTTATTCATATGCTACCAAATCGAAATAGAAAAATGAAACAACTCAAAGAACAGTTTATTTTGATAATCATTAAAGATTGTAAATGATCAAATTTTAAGCTGAACCAGATTACACAATTATACAATTAGATCAGCACAAAATTCAAAGGAAATTATCTCAATAACAACAACCATATATATACATAAAATTTTCATTATTGCATATTAAACAGCAACAATCTTGAAATCAACAGCAGGAGAGAAAGAGAATGATCACTTCTACTAACCTAAAGCTCCAGACAATCCAGCTTTGCCACCGGAACCACTACCTGATCCATATCCGTACCCGTCAAGACCCTCTCTCCTGAACTTCTTTCCACTGCTACCACCAATCTCCTCCTCGTCATCATATTCATCTTCGTAAAATTCTCTCCCTCTCCCTTTCTTAACTGCCGCCACCCCTACTGGCCCAACCATCCTCTCCGCCCCAGCAGAATGATAACCGTATTGAGGCACCACAGCCACATGATGCCTGGGCCCAAGATGTCCTCCCAAAATACTCCTCACAGGAAGCAGAAAATAGAACTCCTTGTCCCCAATTTGCAATAGATCTTGAGAATCGAGCTTTACGGGAGGGTTACCGGGGAGATGAAGGACGCCTTCGACTAAGCATCCATTCTTCCCAAGAACCTCGAGAGCGAAACGCCGGCGCGTGAAGTCGTAGAAGATGCGAGCATGGTTACGGGAGATGTTCATGCCACCGCCGAGGCTGGAAAGGTCAACGTCGACGGTGGATTTCTTGGAATTCCGGCCCAATATTATGGAGTATGTTTGCATGTAGTACTCAAAATCCTCTCCTTGTAGCTTTGCAAAACCGGCTTCCACGTCACTGCCGGTCGTTCCCATGGTGTAAGGATTCTGATCGATTCGCGTGTGCACGGAGAGGAGAAGAGAGTGGCTTGTTTTGGGGAAGACGAGTGTTTGGTTTACGGGATAGAAGCAGCAGTTTCTTCAGTGGAGGTGTTTGGTTATGGGATTTTCATTTAAAAAGGCCCAGTTACGCCTCAGTCTAGGCCCAACATCCCTATTATAAAACCCTGCGTTTTTTTTTTTTTTTTTTTTTTTTTTTTTTTTTTTTTTGACCAGGAATAAATTTTTTTTTTTTTTTTTTTTGAAAGGAATAAAACCCTGCTTGCATTGCATCCGTGAATAAACCCTGCTCTTTTACAATACCGAGTCGCAGACGAACCAGACATCTTCTCGAGAGGAAATAGAGAGAAAACAGAAAACCAAAGATGATTATACCAGTTCGCTGTTTCACTTGCGGCAAGGTAAAATTTTAATGGTCGAACTTTTAGTACTCGAAATCTATTATCTTTTGTGTTTTTGTTCAATGGCTCAATCCTTCTTTAGGGTTTTGCAATCAATTAATTTCTGCATATTTTTTCTCAAGATAGATAAAATCGTAATGAAATTCCTGACTGATTTGGTTAGGTTAGTGCAGCTGCATCTTTTCAGAGCTAGAATTAACTTTTTTTCTTATGTTTTTATGTTTTAGGTGATTGGGAACAAATGGGATACTTATCTTGATCTCCTTCAAGCAGATTACTCTGAAGGGTGAGATAGTTGTTGTGCTTTTTTTTTTTTAGTTAGTTTATTGTTTACATTTCTGTAGGAGCTTAGAGAAACTGTGTTTCTGTTTCGCTTCTGTTAGTGCTTGAGGGATAGCTAGAAGTTGTGTATCCACTATTGCCGAAACTTGAAAGTGCACCTTGTTTAGTCTCTGAGCCCTCATGCTTGGTTACATTCCCACCGTTAACCTTCTTCCTTTTACCCTTCGTTTTTCATTTGTCATCCCCTCCCAAACACAGTGGAAGGCATGCTACCTGAATGCCAATGCCTGCATCTCTTATCAATGCCATGGGTTGTGCCCTGTGAGTCAGATTGTTTTCTTGAAGATTTAATTCATTATCTAATGGCTGTTGGACTTTTTACCTTATGCCTTTATGTTTTGGTTTAGATCATTGGATGGTAATATATATGTGCCTTATATTAAACATTGTTACCTTGAGTTAGTAATTTGTATGTTATGATTTCTTTGCCTTCTAGCTTCTGGATGATCTGTGTTAAAATAGTGTCGGTAGTTATCTTCTTCTTTTTATTGTTGTTGTTGTTGTTGTTGTTATTATTATTATTATTATTATTATTATTATTGATGTTTCATTGTAAACCAATAGGTTTTTGAATTCAACTGTTTCTACTTAAATTGACAACAGTTGATAATTTTTCTTTGTACATTTTAATAAATATTTCTAGAACATAGATATTAAGTAGCTAGGATGTAAAAGGCCAAAAACTTCTGAGCTCTATATTTGTATGAAAATGTGTTTATCCAGTTAAATATTTGTCTTGTTTCCATTTGGAGATGTTATTTCAGAACTTGTATGCGTAGCCCAAGTGCAAGCAGAGCAATGGTCCTCTTGTTGTTTTATTATCTTACCCCATTTTTATACATTCGTATGTGTTGATGCAATGGCTTCTAGAGTTGAGAATGCAATGTTTGCAATAGTTAAGAATTGTGTAACTATCTTATGGAAAATCATTGAGCTTCTGGTTGTTTTCCATTTGTTTTCCTTGGACTTCAGTTTTCGAAAGAATCATTCAAGAGCATTGCAGCATAGCTTCTAGCCAACTAACTGTTACACTTAATATTCATATAAAAATTGATTACAGTTATGAGAACAACTGTTATAGCACATATTGAAGACTAGAATAACATCTTGTTGCTTGGTATACAGTGATGCACTCGATGCATTGGGATTGGTCCGTTATTGCTGTAGGCGAATGCTCATGACTCATGTTGACCTCATCGAGAAGCTTTTGAACTACAATAGTAACTCTCCCTCTCTCTCTCTCTCTCTCTCTCTCTCTCTCTTGTATCTGTATATGTGTGTTTACAATGTATTTGTTGATTTAAATTTCATACAAATGTAAGTGTGTTTTCTGTGGCTGAGTGGTAGTCTTGTAGTTGTGATGTTAGCTATTTCATAGTGAACAATGTTTGCTGTATGCCATGCTAGATAGGTAAAATATTATTTTCCCCTGAAAATAACTTGTTAGAAATTTCCCCACCATCTAAATATTTTTAATGAGTAAATCCATCTGAGCAGTTTATTTTGCTTTTGACTTTTTATTGTGAAATTAATTCCAATTTCTATGACATCGCTAAATGCAACCAATTGCTTTGAGTTTATATTTTTAAAGCTTACACCAAGGGAATGAGATATTTTATTACACAAATTCTGGTATTTATCTATTTATTTCCAAATTTTGCTATTGGATATGGATATTGTTCCTGGCGCTGATAGAATTCTTTGTTGCAGCACTGGAGAGAAGTGAAGGCAGTTAAAGGAGACTTACTGGGACTGCTTATCATGAATGAACCTTAACATGTGTAGTGACTATGGTGGAAGCATAGACACTGGAGAGAATATATTTAGAAATGTCAAGTATTGTGTGAATGTTATTTTTGTTTTTTCTATGTTATGCAGCTTATGCATCAATTTGATGCCAACATGGCAATAAGTTGCTGAAAACATTTTGTGTTTCTTGCTTGATGCTGCTCGATGACTCCTGCGATCCATTAGCACTTGCTTTACTACCATTACCGCGAGCATTTGCATTTTAATGATATAGCTTCATTGGTAGATATGGGTGAAGTAAGTTAAGCTTGTGATATGTTTTTTTTTTTTTTTTTTTTTTTATATGGGTGAATGTAGTTAAGCTTGTGATATGTTTTTTTTTTTTTTTTTGTTTTTTTTTTTTTTTTTTTTTTTTTTTTTTTTTTTTGAAAGGGGTGATATGTTTTGTCTTTGCTATCAATAATATTCTCTATTCCATGTAAATTTTTTGTATTTGTCTCAACAAGACAAAAGGAGCTGTTTAGCCATTTCATTATCATTACAGGAGGGAGTTGGTAAATGATTCCGTAACTTTCAATGAAGAGGTTCCTAATTCCTATCAACTGGAATTGAAAGGAGGTCGGGTAATGGGCCCTTGTACATGTGACTTTGCCTTGTCATTCATACTATTGTAAATTTGTCAGAGTATGTTTCCATTTAAATTAGTCAGTACATGTGACTTGCCTTGCCAGAGTTATACTATTGAGACGTCTCATGCCCCAAAATTATAATTAGTATTTTTGTTTTTTTTATAACAAAATGCCTTCTGGTTTGATAACCTTACATTTCCATTTTTTTTTTTTTTTGCCATGTTACTGTTTACAAGGAAGATATTATGATATGCACGCGGAATATTCATTATTGAGGATGAAAATTTGAACCCATGACCAATATCATGTGATTATTATTTATTTCACATAGTTTAAACTTTTATGAAAATAAAATTTTCCAACGTTTCAATGTCACCCAAATGCTCTAAATAAAAATTCCCACAATTGGTATAGTTTCCATTTCTTTTCTTTATTTTGATAAAGTTATCGTATTTGCTCCATTCAAGGTAAGAATATAAAAAGTTAAAAGCTAGCTCCTTTTCTTTAAAAAAAAAAAAAATGAATTACGTTTGGGATACTCTTGAATTTATATACAAACGTTGACACTAATTTTTTTCCCCCAAATAGCGTATTCTTCACTAAAATATTTAGAAACATTAATATTATTTTCGATGTGGTTTCTTACTATATTGGATTAAGAAGAATTCCCATTCTCACAAATTATTAAACTAATCATTGAATGATATAAACTAGCTATTAATATATGATAATCAATTTAGTGTTTGTTTGATAAATTGCGTTTGCAATAGTTAAGACTTTAGATTGATTAAATTATAGGCTTTTTTTTTAAAAATTTTTTTAAATATAATTTTTAAATATATCTCTTTTTAAAATGTATTACATTTTGTATCATCAATGTAATGTAAGCTAATGTTATAATGATTAATCAAGTAATATATAAATTAAAGAAATAAATAACACTAATCTTTGATAAATTATAATCATAACAAAGTGAACATTTAAATAACTCTTTTTTTTTTTTTTTTTTTTTTTTTTTTTTTTTTTGAAAAAACTTAAATGGTCTCAACCAAATTTCGTCGTGTACCGAACAATTTTTTTCCCTGAAGGCCAAAACGTTGCTCGTAGTCGCTGGCCCATCACCAAAATCTCTCCTCTAACAGAGTTGTTTAGGGCAGCGTTGGTTTTTTTTTTTTTTTTTTGAAAAACTTAAATGGTCTCACCAAAATTTCGTCGTGTACCGAAACATTTTCCTGAAGGCCAAAACGTTGCTCGTAGTCGGCTGCACCATCACCAAAATCTCTCTCTAACAGAGTTGTTGTAGGCAGCGTGGGCAAAGCCATTTCCAGCTCAGAGATACGCATACCCTTTTACTCATTTCACGTCCATCTCGTCTCCATTTCCTTTCTCTCACCTTCTCTTCTACTCTGAAACACATTTCTCTTTAGTAAAATGTACTGTTAGTAATATTAATATCTATTGACCATTTCTTCTAACAAAAAAAAAAAAAAAATGCAAAATGTTGCTCTCTCTAGATCCAACCCAACTCCAACTCTTTGATATTTGAGCAGAACAACAAAACCCATTACTGCTTTCTGTTAAAGATAGAGTCTTGTTTTGAGAATGGGCGTTTTAGGAGAGTCTTGGTGCTTTTGCAAAGGAGTAGGTAAGTCTGAGAGAATGAAGGCCGCCATTTTCTCCGGCAAGGGTTCTGCTATGGCTACAATCTCTTGCGCCGGAAATGGAACATCCGGTACCGGATTTTTGATCCACCGGAATCTCCTCTTGACCGCTCATGTTAATATTCCCTCTGTGACTGCTGCTGAGAGTGCGGAGATCCGTCTCCAAAACGGCGTAGCTGCTTGTCTTGTCCCGCACAGGTTTTTTTTTTTTTTCTTTTTGACATTTTTATTTGTGTTCGTTAGACGAAAAAAAAACGTTATTAATAGAAGTTTAAGTAGTTGATTGGGATTGATTGTGAAATAGTGACAAAGTTGTTTAAACTGAGCCAATAGTTTGTTAGTTTTCATTAAGTGAAGGATTTAATTAACTGAGTGAGAGAGATGGAGAAGAGTGATATATTAGTGGTAATGATTTCTGACTTTGGATTTGCATTGATTTTGTTGGTGGATAATCACGTTTTCAAATGGAATATATTCATAATTGTCTAAGCACTGGATCATATTCTATTATGTCCTTGTATTTGTGAGGATACAAGTTGAATGCATATTATGGTTTCACATTGAGCTAACTGAGGAGTTATGAGACACCGAAATTCCATTTTGTTCTATATGTGTCGCCATCATATCAAACGGAATGTGAAATATTTATGTTTTCTTTTGGGGAAGTAGTTGCTGAAATTATTGCAATTTTCTACTTGCTAAAAATGTGCATTTACGTTCTTTGTTACTAGTTTATGTGTTGATACTAATGATCTACACATGTCATAGTAATCCTATCTGGACAGTGTTTTTATAGCAAAGGAAATTGCTTTGTTTGTACTGTTTGATTTTGACTTGTTGCTCTTAAATTATATGACCTCTTACCAACAAAATAATGCCTTTATGTATTTTAGCATTACTCACTTCTTATTGCTTGATACAAGAAGTTACTAAAGTGGGACTGATTTGGAAATCTGTGTATTTGTGTTTTATAGTGGAACAAAGGCTTTACTTTAAAATTTTGTATATTGTGATTCTACTCTTGCTTGCAAATTTGACTATGACTCATAAATAATGAAAAATTACCTCAAGCTTACTTATGTCTCAATCTATCAAACAATGTAAAGCCTGAGCTCATTTAATATTTCACTAGGGACCTACACAAGAAATGCCCTCTGTTGCCAAATTTGAAAAAATTTGGTGAAAATAGCTTTATTGATAGCTTTCTCTCAGGGTTGCAACAAATGCATCACGGTATAACTGTTGAATGCATGCTAGGTAGATGCCATTTCATAACAACATAGATTGTTAGTAACTTAGCAATTCAGGGAAACCTAAGTTTTCTATATTTTAAGCTTTCTTAACGATTTAGAAAGCTGTGCTAAAACATAAAGTCTGCAGATCATATTCTCCCAGATGTCTGAAATTAGGATTGAGTCTAAAAAATACAACTTTTGCTTGTTACTATCGAAAAAACAGTGCCCAGTGCCCACTTACATTGCATCAACTCAATTACTCTATGCTGCTAACATCACCCACTTAATTACAATCTTCTTTATCATGATTAGATCACCAAATTGGTTTGACTAACAAGCCATGCTTGTGCTTGACTTCTAGGTTGATTAGATTGAAGGGAACACAAATATATTTGAATTTTATGGTTTACAGTGCACCTTTAGCACTGGAATTAACTTAATAGAGAGGAATTTCAAAATTTTTCTTGGCTGCATTGGTGACCTCCAGTCAGGGATTGAGATAAATCAGCTCCATAAAACTTTATCACCTGATATCACTAATGTAAGGGATTGAGAAATGTTATATTGCTGGACTACCTTCAATAAGACAATGCAGCTTTTTGCTTAATCTTTCACCTACTGCCTGCTGGTATATGATGCTAAAAGAATTTGGAATCGTAATAACCCTTTTCGACAACAATTAGAAGTACAAATTTCAATATGTATATTGACTTACATGGCCAAGAAATGTCTCAGTCAGTCAGTTGTTGGTCCAAATTTAAAAATGATATCTCCTTTCCTTTGGTCAATGCTTTCAGGATTCGTGCTGGCCATAAAACTTGTACTGTGCAGAACATAAGGAACTTGTTGTCTCTTTACATCTGCTCATGGATGAAGAAGTTTAAATGTGAAATGTACTCTTGAATGTGACTGGATTATTCTAAGTTGATCAAAGAGTCTATTGCTAAGTGTTCAGCGTGCTTTCTCTGTTTTGCATCTTAGATGGCTTGCTGCATCTTCTACCCTGACATGTTTGTTTCCTGTGAATGGCAAGTGCTGTTTGCATTAATCTCTTTTTGGCACTTTGGGTAACTGGCACCTTGCTGCTTTACATAGTTCTGCTTGTTTATATTTCTTATTGTAATTAATGCTGCCATAATGGCTGTAGTGACATTGTACTCATGTAAGTGAAAGAGACAGCGATTCCTTCTAAATAGCTTCACGGTTTAATCTGAGCAATTTCTATGAATTTTCTCAACTCTGTTGTTTAATTGCAGGTTTTTCGTCACCAGTTCTGTTCTGGACCTTACAATAGTGGGATTAGATGTTGTGGATGGAGACTCCAATGCCCAAGGACAGCCTCACTACTTGAAGACTTGTTCTAAACCAAACCTGGATCTGGGCAGTGTTGTTTACTTTTTGGGCTATACAGAGAAGGAAGAACTGACAGTTGGTGAGGGAAAAGTGGTAATAGCCACAGACAATCTCATAAAACTGTCAACCGATGGAATAATATGGCACCCCGGATCTGCTGGATTTGATGCACAAGGCAATCTTGCTTTCATGATCTGCGATCCTATGAAATTAGCCACATCTCCAAATACCAAGTCATCCTCGACTTCATCCTCATCCTCAGCATCTTGGAAAAAGGATTCTCCTATGCAGTTTGGTATTCCCATTCCCATCATTTGTGATTGGTTAAATCAGCATTGGGAAGGCAATCTTGATGAACTTACCAAACCCAAATTACCAATCATTAGACTGATGTCCACAGGCCAGAAGAGCGAGCACTCTTGTGCATCCTTCACACTCCGACAGGTTTTTAAGTCAACAGATGCGGATAATGATGGAACCCCTTCATCATCTAATACGATCTCTAAACCTGGGGACCAACATGGACCAGGTTGTTCAGGTGTAGCAAACATTACCAAAGAAGAAACTCTTACCGCTGATCGACACACTGTCCATGTGCAGGGAATCTTGACTCCTGAAATTTATGAATCGCGGAAGTTGACTGCAGCTCCCATTAGGAAAAAGGAAGGTGCTCAAACACAGCTTTTGGATATTAATTTCCCGCCAAGGGTCTTTAAAGGTACTGTTCAACCACAGCAAGTCAACCAGCTGCCCCCTAACTCCGGTGAGAATTTTATTAAAGAACTTCCCCTGCAGAGCCCATCCGGTGAAGATCAAATCACAGAGAGAGGAAATATTAACCCTGAAGCAGATGTTGAGATTGCATCTACTGGTTCTGTAAATGGGGCCCAAAGTGAGGTCCAGTCTAGTTCCTCCCCGGTGGAGGTTTCAGAGATGTATAATGGGTATAGCAGTGAGGGAGAGACTACTATGTATTCTGCTGAAACTGCTGAGAGCCGAAATTTTCCAAGTCCTATGGAGGGGAAGTGTCAGCACATGGGAAGGAGCCAAAGTTGTGTAAGTCACAATAGATGGGGAAATACTGTCCATAGAAACCCAATGGCTCGTAGGGCAATGTTAGAACAGCAAAGAAGCTTCATCCACGGAAGGAAGATGCATTCACAAGGGGCAACATCTCAAAGGAGTAATGACTACTTCAGTCCAACTGTGTCGTCAATAATGAAGAAGCGAAACAACTTGGAGCAGCCTACCAGACCGAAACGAAGTCCTGTTCACTCTTCTCCAAGATGGATGTTCTGATTATTCTAGATTAATGTGATACCAAAAGAGAACAACAGAAATATAGTGTTTTGTTGTTGTTTGGATCATGTCCATTCAATTGCATATAGTGTAACCGTGTAACTAATTTATTGTTACCATGTGGAGACCAATCTAAGGTAAATAAGAAAATTCAACAAGGTTGTAGTTTTGCTCAGGAATGATTCAAGTGTACGATCGTGTGCACTGTTGTTTTTTCATTTAAATTCCAGGTTGACAGTGCTCAAGGCAGACAATGAGCTACTTTGGACAACAATTAGACTGGTTATAAAACCTTGCATCCTTTCTACTCTTTTTTTGTTAATGGCCATATGACCTAAATGCTGCCATTGCTGTATCAAATCCATGTTTAGCATTAGATTCTGGAAGTTTAACACGTTGTATTTATGTTCATCATAGTTTTTCTTTTACATCTGGTTGTGCTCAACCAAAGCTGTATCGATCGAAACTGCCTAGTATTATCGAGCATCTGCTTGAATAACTTAATCAAATATGACATACCATCAAAAACTACAAAAATATTCAAAACAGCTGAAAAGCAGAGTATATATATACTGCCATTAATCTTGACACCGTATTTCAGTTTTAAAATGAAGTCAATAGGACACCCATTCAGGTTGACCAGAACTCGCATCAGCAATGCTGGTAATGGCTACTCGTGAATTGAACCAACCAAACTTTTCTATTAGCTTTCTGATGATTTCACCTGCTATGTATGAAACTCCTGAAGCCAAAAATCCTGCAGCAGCGTAATACATGACAGTCTTGATGTAATTCTTGGGTGGCTTCCTGACATAAGACTTAGCGATGGCAAGCATAGTAATGCACAAAAGAGAAGCTGCTGCAACTGCTGCTAACTTATAATCCTTATTGTCACTCTTCAAGAATGAGAATCCATAAACTACAGGAGGTACTAATCCAAAAATAATGAATGATAATACGGCAACTGTGGCATGAACAATGAAATTCTGTCTCCGTCCAAGTGATTCAACATAACGATCCACTCCTTCATTTGTCTGATCAGAGGTCCCTCCAGATTGTTCATTTCTAAGTTCCCTAAGCTGTAATTGATAGATGTTAGTTAAAAATTCAAGGATCGTGTTTTAATCATCCATATATATTTATTGAACTTCTATTGACAGGAAAGAAATTACTCACATGGTGTGCAATCATGACGAGTCCACCAACAAGGTTTGCCAATGCCAAAGCTACAATGTTCACTGCAATTCAAAAAGGTCGATTAAGCGCTAGTTTCACATTGCTATTTTATACTGGAGTATATCTAGAGCAATGTAGCATTGGACTTACATGTAGCAGCATCAGCACTTATAGCAGATGTCACAACACTTAAGCTTGTAATTGATTCTATTAAACCACCATATACAATGCTTTTTAGGATTTCTATTTTTCTGTCATCTCTTGATTCTGAAGGTAATGAAGTTTGTGTATCTTCATCAACATTCACTATCACGTTTGATGAGCTCGGAGGAAGTCCAGTTTCAATTGCAGCTATTTGAACAAGCAGCATATCATATCATTGTAGTTTTCTAACAATGACTAGAAAATAAAGTGATATAACAGACAAATTTGCACAGATTGCAAAAAAAGTTTACTACATCATTTCTTCGTACCTGTGTCACTTTTTTCAGTTTTGACATTTTCTTTATTGTCAGCTTGAATTGTAAGTCTTTCATCAGGTTCAATATTTTCCAAATATTTGTCATCTGGACGAGTCAAAATGCAGATATGAGGAGTAGTGGTAATTAAGAAAAAAAAAATGTTCAAATGAAAACATTGCATCTCTAATTGCATCAATTGAACATACCTGTACTTTCATCTGTAATTGCATCAGTTGAATTTGCTTCACCTATTTCAACTTCTTTCTCTGTAGAGTCTGTATTTTCATTTGTAATTGCATCAGTTGAACTTACTTGTCCACCTATCTCAACTTCTTTCTCTGCAGAGTCTGTATTTTCATTTGTAATTGCATCAGTTGAACTTACTTGTCCACCTATCTCAACTTCTTTCTCTGCAGAGTCTGTATTTTCAGTCTGTATTTTCATTTGTAATTGCATCAGTTGAACTTACTTGTCCACCTATCTCAACTTCTTTCTCTGCAGAGTCTGTATTTTCATTTGTAATTGCATCAGGTGAACTTACTTCTCCACCTATTTCAACTTCTTTCTCTGTAGAGTCTGGTTTTGCGTAAGCCACACTATCTCCAGGTAATGGAGCAATATTTGTCAGTGGAGAATGAGCTCTTTCATCTTGTAGCATTTCATTTGGTTTAGGTTTAGTTTTATCACGGTTTGTTCCCAGCAACGGAATGTTCTCCATTAATGGATCGGCTGATGGATCTTGCACAGTACTAGTTTCTATTGCATTAGCACATTGGGTGAATAAAGGCATGAACAATGAAAATCTCAGCTGGATATATACACATTCATTGATTAATTGAAATAGTTGAAATAGAAAGAGCAAATGAGGCTCCATTTGGTGACCACGGTATGGTGCAAACACATAATAAAACGCATATCTAGTGCTAAATCTATTATTTTCACGACAATCAATCACAACATACGACCAACTAAGATTTGCTCAGGCCTACCAATTAGGCTAAGCCTTTTTAGTTCATATTTACACTTCCCATTCTTTTGAGAGAAACACTATCATTTCTTTCATACCTATGTCACTTGTTTCAGTTTTGAAATTTTCTTTTCTGTCAGCTTGAATTGTAAGTCTTTCATCAGGTTCAATCTTTTCCAAGCATTTGTCATTTGGATGAGTCAAAATGCAGATATGAGTAGTAGTTCTAATTAAGAAAATAAAATGTTACAAATGAAAACATTACTCTGTATTTGCATACCTGTATTTGCATCTCCAATTGCATCAATCGAACTTCCTTCTCCACATATTTCAACTTCTTCTTTCTCTGCGGAGTCTGGTTTTGGGTAAACCACATTTTTTCCAGGTACTGGAGCAATGTTTGAAAGTGGAGCATGACTTCTTTCATCTTGTACTATTTCATTTGGTTCAAGTTTAGGTTTATCATGGTTTGCTCCCAACAATGGAACACTCTCCACTGATGAGTCAGTTGATGGATCTTGCAGAGTAATAATTTCCACTGCATTAGCACATTGGGTGAGATAAACAATGAAAATATCAGCTGAATATATACAACTTCATTGCTTAATTGAAATAGAAAGAGCAATTGAGGCTCCATTTGGTGAACCGCAGTGTGGTTCAAGGTAATATAATCAAATGAATTTCTAGTGTTAAACCATCGATCACAACACGACACCCGCTAAGATTTTCTTATGCATACCAATTAGGCTAAGCCTTTTTAGTTCATATTTTCACTTCCCATGTTTTTTTGAGAGAAACACTATCACTTCTTTTATACCTATGTCACTTTTTTCAGTTTTGACATTTTCTTCACTGTCAGCTAAAATTGTAAGTCTTTCATTGGGTTCAATCTTTTTCAAATATTTGTCATCTGGATGAGCCAAAATGCACATACAAGGAATAGTGCTAATTAAGAAAATAAATATTTCAAATGAAAACATTGCATCTCTAATTGCATCAACTGAACATACCTGCATTTGCATCTCTAAATGCATCAATTGGACTTACTTCTCCACCTATTTGAGCTTCTTCTTTCTCTGCACAGTCTAGTTTTGGGTGAACCACATTATCTCCAGGCAATGGAGCAATATTTGTCGGTGGAGCATGACTTCTTTCATCTTGTAGTCTTTCATTTGGTTTAGGTTTAGTTTTATCATGGTTTCTTCCCAAAAATGGAACACTCTCCATTAATGACTCAATTGATGGATCTTGCACAGTACTAGTTTCTGCTGCATTTGCACATTGGGTGAGATAAAGGCATGAACAATGAAAATATCCTACGCCTTCATTTCTTAACTGAAATAATTGAAATAGAAAAAGCAAATGAGGCTCCATTTGGTGAGCCACAGTGCGATGTAAGGTAATGTAATCAAACACATTTCTAATGTTAATTTGCTATTTTCACAGGCATTGATCACAACGTGACACCCACTAAGATTTTCTTAGGCCTACCAATTAGGCTAATGCTTTTTAGATTATATTTACATTTCCCCAGCATAATCGCCAGACTGAAGACGCATTTTCAACTTGTCATTTTTAAAAATGTCAATGAAAAACATCCTTTTGACATCTTCTAAAAGGATACTCTTTTGAAAAAAAAATCTGCATTACATAAATTGAAAAGGACCGAGGAAGTTTTACTGTTTAGAGCTAACATTATGATCAGTTGCTTCCGACAACATGGGGCCTAAAGGAGACTAAAGCAAAATAATTATCATCTGCTAGATAAGGTAGACTATAAGAATAACCAACAATTCAAATTCTTTCATGTAGCATTATCCATCGGCACCTAACTCAATAATTGAAATTCCAAACTAAAATTTTCCAGGTCAGGTGAAAAATCAAACAAGTTTGTCAAAATTTCTTATGTTTAGGTCAAATACGCAGTAAACAACTATATCAAACGGTCTCTTAATTTTAAATGTATACTCGTCGCATCATTAACTATGATATTCTAGACTCTAGTTTCATATAAATGTCTTTTTGGTCATTACATAATTATTCAAATTATTTCCTGAATGATTGGAAAGATTGCACAAGAAAAATTACCTTGCTCATCCCTCCTTCCTTCCTCATTTGGTACAAAAGTGCGGAAAAACCAATTGCCTGAAGAATAAACAGAAAGGTTTAAATAGCTACAAATATCATAGTAAATAGTAGAATATGTGCTATTATGATTTATGACTGGAAGGTTATGGGATTGCAACTTTGCTTTTGATTGAAGAAAAAAGTCTCTTTCTGGAAGTGATGAGAAGAAGACTGCATATAATAGATAAATTATTTGCTTTTTTTCCAAAAAAAAAAAAAAAAAGTGAGACAGGAACGGTACATATTCTTTGATTTTCGACTTAAAGTATCGATTGTATTTATAGACAATATATTATTCATACAACTGAAATGAACATTTTATTTTACATCAAATATGAAAAAATAAAATTTCAAATAAAGTCCATAAAATTTTATGAAATTCATTTATACTAAATAGAGTATGAAAGATCATAGATAGATGAAAATGTACCTGCAACAATGACAAAACCAAAACATGATGAGCATCTAAATGTATCGACTGGCTCTCGAGTTGGTACAGAATCATCTCCCACTCACGAACAATAACCTTTTCTATGCAAGAATTACAATTAGGACAGAAGAACTGATGTGCTAGTGGCTTGTTATACACATGATCAAGATATAATTCTGTTTCCTCTTCTCTAGTTTCTCTTATAAGACCAACACTTTCATTTGCTGCTTTGACTTGTTCGAAGATTGTAAGATTAAAGTCTTAGAAAAAGCAATGTCAACATTTGCATCAGAGCCAGAAAGTTCATCAATAGCTTCAGTCCCTGAAACCATGTAAAATTAATTATATGAGCAAATGAGATTTATCTGATTGAGTCAATAGAAACAAAAAAAGAAAAAAAAAATGATAAAACGGTAATATTTATTTAAAAAACTTTTTTTTAATTGAGTTGGTGTATGATCTACCATACACCGGTCCAGGTGTAGCCAAAGTCCTAAATATAAAACGATATTTTTATCTTCATTTTCATGTATGAAATTAGTAGAGAAACAGTCACAGCCTCAGATTATGGTGTTTATATAGAAAATTTAGAGCAAGATCGAAAGAAACAAACAGAAGAATCAAAGGAGGTTACTGTGTGCTGAAGAATCCGGATATTAGTGAGCTTAAAAAATGGAAGGGCAATTTAGTAACGTCGATCTGTAATATATAATTTATAATCTATTTAATATATATATAGAAGTTTATGGATTTCATTAATCAATTAATGTTATTGGTTGAAAAATAAAGATAATTTAATTTTAATTGATTACATTAATTTCTATTTAAAATTTTATTGGATAAACTAGAAAATTATATTATATATTATATAAAGTATATATTAAATAGGATAAGAATATAATATTTTGTTAATTAAAAAAATAAAAGTAATTTAATTTTTATTGGGTATATTAAATTTTCTATTTAGATTTATTGCATAAATTAAGAAATTATTTAATAGAATTTAGATTTAAATATGAAATAAATTCAACCAATTAAAATTAAATTATCTTTATTTTTTCAATCAATAAAATTAAAAACCCTAAAGATATTATATTTTTACCCTATTTTAATAATTACTTATATTATATATAATATAATTTCTTATTTTATTCAATAAAATTTAGATTTAAATATTTAATACTTTTACCCTATTTTAGATAATTACTTTATATTTGATATATATAATATAATTTCTTATATTTTATCAAATATAAATATTTAGAATTTAAATAATAATTTCTTATTTTATTCAATAAAATTTAGATTTAAATAGGAAATTAATATTACCAATCAAGATTAGATGATCTTTATTTTTCAATTAATAAAACTGAAATCCTTGATGATATTTTTGTGGATTCATAAATATTTTTTATTAATAAAATAAATTATTATTAAATTATAATGTTCAAAAAAAATTTTAATTTATCAAAGTACTAACTCGAGCCAATAAGTCTGTATTTACACTCAATCTAACCTGGATAAACTAAGTAAAAAACCTAATCAATACATTTTAAACACCAAAAAGACATTACAAAACCTAAATTTACGATTAAAAAATCCAATTAACTAAGCCAAAAATGAAAGACCAAGAATAGCACATATGAAGTTACGCCGGAGAAGAGTCTAAACCCCAATGGAGTGATAGTAAATGCAAACTACGTCACTCTTTCTTAGCACACCACCCTCCCCCGCCTGTCGGACCTGACTTTACTTTTCTTGGCTTGGTCCATGAGTGAGGCTGCGGACCTGGTCCAAATAAAATTAACCCATAAACTGGATCCGCTTATGGACCACCAACGATGGTAAAAATTTTTTAAAAAATGTTCAGACTTTATCTTTTTTTTTTTTAATGTATGATCAGAAATACTATCGTTTCAATAAAAAAACTTTATTCTCATTGGTTTGGTCTATGAATAGGCTATGAATCCGATCTAAGTAAAATTAATCCATTCACAATAATCAATGAGGTACACTATTTTTTTCTCTATCCCTACAGGTATTACAAGTCCGTAATTGGATTATAATTAAATCTTTACTCCAATCATAATTATTCAATTTAATTATTAATTTCATTTGAGAAAGAAAAACATCGAATCACTCATCTTAAATTAATATTCGGGTGTAGCTTTTTAAAATGTGAAAGATACACTAATTAAATGAGCTAAACCACTAAGGATACGAATATGACTATAGCTTCAAACATTCAATACCATGATCTTATTATTATTATTATTATTATTATTATTATTATTATTATTATGCATATAAAAGAAGGAAATATAAAAGAAGGAAATTTAAATCTTAATATAGTGTCAAATTATATATACACTTACCACTAACCAAAATAAGAAGGAAATTTAAATCATTATTATTATTATTATTATTATTATGCATATAAAAGAAGGAAATATAAAAGAAGGAAATTTAAATCTTAATATAGTGTCAAATTATATATACACTTACCACTAACCACTAGAATTTAAATTTTAATATAATATCAAATTATATATACACTTACCACTAACCACTAGAATACGCTAAGTGTACACGGTCAGAGCACGCCTTCTCACAATAATCGAACTTCACGTTTTACGTGATGTGGATATCGTTTACAACAACTTAAAGAGCTTGTTCGTTGCCACTTCTCTTCTAAAATAAGTTCACCGTTTTTTGGAATTTTTTGAACCCATTACATACTTTATCAGTGTCTATATAATATATTTTTTTACTGTTTAATGCTCTTTTACTAATATAAAAAAAATAATATGCTATAAAGATAATACCATTATTATATATTTACGATCGTATAAAATATTTGATTTCTGAATCTACAAATAAAACGTAATCAACTTACACGTATTAAAAACCACAAAATAATAATTTTTTGACCCGTGAAGTTTTTTTTAATTAATTAAATGATTATCTAATTGGATTATTTATTTAGTTAAAAATACTAAAATTCATTGTTTTATTTTATTTTGGTGAAAATTGAGCTTTTTAATTAATCATTTCATACAAATTAAAGGGTAAATATATAAAAAATAAATTCAAAGAACAGAGTGAGCATCATTTTTTTTTTTTTTTTATATAAAAAAAATAAATTCACAAGAAGCAGAGTGAGCATCAAATTTTTTTTTTTTTTGATAAATAGCATATCTATTTATATATATATATACTAATATAAATATATATATAACTCAAACGAGGTATAATCCACTCCTCGGATTATATAACCAAGAGGTATAATCACTCTCGGATTTTTACCCTCCCAGCACTTCCGTAATTCAAACTTTTCTTTAATTGCAAAATTAACAAATAACAGCCTCTAACATTACCTTACATTAGCTAATAGATTTCTGTTTTTATATATTCATATATATAGATAGATAGTTTACCCATTTTATAAGTAATGATGTCATTAATTATTTTATCTTCAGAGCTATATTGTAGCTATTGAATTTGAAGGCTATTATGGGTTTAGCATGAGTGTAAAATTATTTGTCATAAACACTAAAATTTTACCTTTTTCTGCATTGATTCAAAAATATGGTAAAAAAACTAGATAAAGAAACTGATTCAATCCAATAGACTATTTTTAAGAATTTAAAATCTAATGGTAAAAATAAATTCTTTATATATACAAAACTTCATAATTATATTCGGTAGTTTTGCCTTTTAAACATCTCCAAAATTATAAAGAGTAAGACATATCTTATATCCTACCAATATCCTATTCTTGTAATTTGGTATTCAATTCCCTCTTGCTTGTGTTCTTTCTATCAAGTTTGATGAAGTATGTTCTTTGATTTTTTTTTTAAAAAAATAAATATTTATTTCTAATTTGATGTTGGCCTCAAAATTTTCTTTGGGTTTATTATTATGCGAACATAAATATTATTCCTTTCGTTCCATATTTGGATTTAATTTCATTTTTTTTTAAATTTATCCTATAGTCCTGAATTCCTTTTAGAAATGAATAATTTATAAATTTTTTATTTTGCCTCTATCTAATAGTATATATATACCCTGCATTTTAGAAATGAATAATTTAGAAATGAATAATGTTCTTTGATTGCTATTTAATTTGTCTAATTTGTAATAAATTATTGATTATTCTTAATATATTTTTGAAAATTATAGTAATTAATGTCCATCATTTGCAAAGGACAAAAATATTATTACTCCCTCTATTTTCTTTATTTAGAGAAAACATAAAATGCACAAGGATTAAAGTGGTGATTGAACTGAATTTTTTTCACTGTTTTTTGGCCTAATATATCCCTAATTTGTGCTAATTACTCCATTAATTGTGAGGAAGCTAACTCACAAAGAGATAGTCCCAAGGGCATATTTATTCGACAATTAGCACAATTTTTAAAGGTTAGTGTCTTTGTATATTTTAAAGCTATTAAATAAGAGTATGATGTAGATAGAGAAATATAATAAAACGAGCATACATTTATAAATAAAGCACGTTTAAACGACCTATATGTACTCTTATAGGCAACAAAGATTTGTGCTTAATATTTTTTTAATATGAGCACACCCATTAACTTTTCAGTAGTTAAAATCCTATGAATAAACATGAGTGAAATAATTTAAAGTGGCGTACAAATTAGAACGAGTGAAAAAACTTAATGTATGCACATATTTTACAAGGTGTAACCACGTACATTAAAGTTATTTTAAAATTAGCACCACAAAATTGTGTATAATTATATAAAATGCGACTCACTTTCAAATAATGTTTGAATAAAAAATAAAAGATAAAAAGAAAAAAACAGCGGTGAATTGAATATATGTTTATATTTCATATTATTTATTAAGTAATATTGGTCAATTTTAGTTTTTTGACAGTTAAATACACTTAAACACTTAATTGCAAAGTTTTTCACACGTGATATCAAAATAAAATAAAAAAATTATAAATTATAAATAGGTATTGCAAATATAAAATAAATATAATTAAGCCAAATAATTATAAATAGGTATTGCAAATTTTTTATTCTATTCAGTTAAAAATGTAGGTTCAATGTTACTGTAAAAACAAATATTTTTACATAATTTACTGCACAAAGAGAGGCGGAGATTGAGAGAGATGGTAATGGTGAAAGCAAACACGTGCTTCGCTTAGAGTCCTTTCCTCTCCACTTGTTCTTTAGCCTACAACTCTGTACGAAAAGATCCATCTTCAACCTCTACACATGGCAATGGCAATCTCGTCATTTTACCCAAATCCAGTGTCTTTTTTCTTCTCTTCTCTCTTCCTCGGTCCCATCGACAAACCCATCCTTTAAAAGCAGCCTCAAAATACATACACGCAGACAATAAAGTGAACGAGCTTTCTCTGCTTCACGAACAAACTGACATTGGTCTTGAGCTCCAGCCTCCAGCTTGAGCTTGAACTATAAGGGAGATGATGTTGAAGGTACCGTGTACCGCGCCCGACCAAATCCAATCCCTAGCTCCTCAATGTAGATTCCTTAACCAGCATCGTAGCAGTTCCCATTTCACTCGCCGCAGAGCAAACGCTGTCGTTTACTCTTCCCCTGTCGCTAAGATTTCTACTCAGCCTGTTGTTTCTGATGGAGTCACTAAGGTTGAATCCGGGTGTGAAAGCTTGGCTGATCGCCTTCGGTTAGGGCACTTGACGGAGGATGGTTTCTCCTATAAGGAGAAATTTATCGTTAGGAGCTATGAAGTTGGGATTAATAAAACTGCTACCGTTGAGACTATCGCTAATTTTTTGCAGGTATAGTTTGCCAATTTGAGTTTTTTTTTTTTTTTCTAAATCAAGTCGAGTTTATTATGCATGTGTTTGGTTTTCTTTGATTTGGAATTTTGGAGGATTGTTTATGGACCTCTTATTATTATTTTTATATCTTGATTGAATTGTGGGGTTTGTAGGTAAAATTTCAGAATTTTTGGAATGTGGTATGCTTAGTCATGTCGTTCCTGTCAGTTGCACTTATCAAGATATGGGTGGTGCCTAACTGTCTACGGAAAATTCTCTTTTTCTCTGTTTTTTCTGTTACTTTGATGGATTCCAAGCCTCTCATCCACCAGTCTCTTTGTTTGCTGAAATTGTGTTTTCTGGTAATGGGGGAATAATCAGAGACACATTGCTGAACCTGGTTTAAATTTTGTATGGTTTAATAAAACGTCAAGTCTCAATTATGTTTACTGATTAATGAAAATTCTGGTTGATGTCAGTGTTGTTGGTACACTACAGAAATGGACCAACAGGCAAACAAGAAGTCACCTTTTTGTTAATTGATCTGGTTGATTAGTGTTAAAAGATTGAATTTCATTTTGTTATGTTAAGGCTTTAGTTATGCTAATAACATTATTTGAAGACCAAAACTACTCTGACTGAAAATTTATTTGTGTTTTCAATTTTTCATCAACATTTTCTCATATTCTAATATATTACCATGGGAAAAAAAAATGTCTTTTAGGAGGTTGGCTGTAATCATGCTCAGAGTGTTGGATTTTCAACTGATGGATTTGCTACAACCCCCACCATGAGGAAGCTGCATCTCATATGGGTAACTGCTCGCATGCACATTGAAATATATAAATACCCTGCCTGGTGGGTTTTTCTCCCTCATCCATTATGTTTCTGGAAGTTTTGGGCTTATAATTTCTCTTAGCTTTTACAATATGGATATATTGTGCAGGAGCGATGTTGTTGAAATTGAAACATGGTGCCAAAGTGAAGGAAGAATTGGAACTAGACGTGACTGGATTCTGAAGGACTATGCCACTGGTCAAGTTATCGGGAGAGCCACAAGGTTTTCTTGTTTTCCCGTCCTTCTTTATAAGAAAATTGGATAAACAAAAATATATACCAGTATAGTTCATTTTATACAGAACCTTTATGCTAAACTATATTCTTTTCTGGCGTGCTTGTTTTTCTGATTGGATGTGAGGCAAGGACCTTGGAGCTCACTCATTTATTTCTTAGACACTATTTTTAGAAGTCAGACACTTCAATTATTTTGCCTTTTAATTCCTCACTGTCCAAGTTGTTTTGCAAACAAAAGTTCATTGATAAATGGTTGAATACCCAAGATTGTTAAAATTCCACTAAAAACTTTGCTTGCTTTTGAAAATACTTTGTGTTTTAGCTGCCGCATCCAATAATACGTCTGTTTTAGTTTTTCTCTTTAGGCTGTATGATTTGTTTCTGATCTCTTTCAAAAGTTAAAACTTTGCATGTACATCTCTGAATCAAGGTGTTTTGTGGCAGTTGATTATATGTTTTGCTTGATTTCAGCAAGTGGGTGATGATGAATCAAGACACTAGGCGGCTTCAGAAAGTAACTGATGATGTCCGAGATGAATACTTAGTTTTTTGCCCACGAGAACTCAGGTAGGCACCATTTCATCTGTAGAGGCCTAAACTATCACTTTGTTATCTCTTATTCTTGCTTGCTTGGTCATTATTGACAACTAGAAGACCATATTATTTACCACATTAGGCATCTTCTTCAGCCCCTTCATGATTTTTGAAGTCCTTGTGCCGACCACCACCCTTGATACACTCAAAGCTGGATAGCTTAAAAGTACTCTAAGTAGTTGGATGATGTTGATTGGTTGTCTACATTCACACCTATTTGATCCAGGAAATGTTGGCTTTTGCCCATTCAGTATTGTAGTGGGGATTGCATTTGCATCTTTCCCAATATCGTTTTTGCAAATAGCATTTGATTCTTTCACTTAGCCATGATAACTGGGGATGGTGCAACTCTGGTTCCAATACAAACATAGCAAACTCAGACAAAGTTTTACTGTAGGAGTGTCATTTTACTCTTCATCTGTGTCATCTGGTATCCTAAAAGCAACCATGATCACTGAGTTTCAATAGTGTGACTAATGCCACCTGGATCAAGGATGATATGCCTCTATCTTACATTTTCCTATAATCAGTCTTTTAGATGACCTTTAAGCACTCTAATTGTTTCTATTTCAGAACATAAGGGAAGCGCATGATACATTATAAATGCATGAGACCATCTAGTACATAATACTTGCTGGAAATAGTTCAAAGTTTCTATACGATAGCATGGAGTCCCACAGCTCCACCCTTTAGAATTGACTTTGCAAGTTTTATGGTGTTCTAGCATTGTTGCTGTTGTTTTTATCCAAAAGAACATTTTTTTTATGGGAATCTTAAAGTGGCATGCACTTGCAACTAGTTATTGCTTGATCAACCATCTTACTGAATTTTCATTCTGCTTGACAGGTATCAAATTTCAGACATGGTGTAAGATAGTTGGTCTTCATGATATTGTTGCAAACATCCTTTTTCTCATTTTATTTTTCTGGATTTCTAAGATGATTGTAACCTCCAAATTTATGAGAAAGAAAATTGTTTGATTGTATAGAATAAGTGGATAATAGATTCTGTCTCATTCAGAATATTTGCAACAGAGATGACATCATTTGCCCTTTTGTAAATTGATGGTATTTACAGATTAGCATTTCCAGAGGAAAATAATCGAAGCTTGAAGAAAATTTCAAAATTAGAAGATACTACTCAATATTCCAAACTTGGTCTTGTGGTAAGATACAATTTCAATTTCTTTTAACTTTGTTCCTGTCAGCTTTTCTCAATTTTATTGTGTCGTTCCAACTTATAAGCATATTTTTTAATCCACAGCCAAGAAGAGCAGATCTAGACATGAATCAACATGTTAATAATGTAACTTATATCGGATGGGTTCTAGAGGTTGGTAACTGAAAGCATTCTTTAATGGTTTCTCTTTTTTTGTTTTATTTTATTTTGGCATTGCCACTTGATCTTACCAGCTCTCATGCTCCTCAATTACAGAGCATGCCTCAAGAAATCATCGACACCCACGAATTACAAACGATCACCTTGGATTACAGAAGGGAATGCCAACATGATGATGTAGTTGATTCGCTTACCAGTGCAGAATCTCTTGAGGGTGCTGGTTTAGATCTTCATGCAACAAATGGATCTGCCACTGCAATTGCAGGCGAGCAAGACAGTCGTAACTTCTTACATTTACTTAGATTCTCAAGTGATGGCCTTGAAATTAACCGTGGCCGCACCGAATGGAGAAAGAAGCCCTCCAGATGAAATAATGTAGATTTCTTTATTTGTGTGGGCATCTGCCAGTTCTTTTTATCTTTCTCGAGATTCAGGTTTCTTTTCTTTTTCTCCTTTGACCATCAATGTTCTGATTGATTTTACTGTGTTAGGTTAGAGATTTTGTTGAGGAATTCAAAAGACATTATTTGTACTAGGAGGAGAAATTGTTAAACCCACCTCACCAACTCAGTGGATCAATTTGTTGTACTGTGTGATAATTGTTAAACCCACCTTACCAACTACATGAATCAACTGTATTGTTTTACGTTTACTATATTCTTGGAAGTTCAACTGCTCAATACTTAACAATGTAAACTTGACTGAAAGTCGAGGCTTATGTCATGAAACAAAGAGCGTGCAGATTTTACAAAAGATGCATCCAAGATGAAAGAACTCTATGCTTTCTAACTAAAACAAAAAGACAGGCTCTGGCCTTCCTCTTTCTCAAACTATAAAATAATGTTATTGGCAAGGGTGATTTTATGTTTTAATAATGGAAAACTTGAATTTTGTTTTTTTAATATAGGAGAGAAGAAAAGGACTAAAAAAAGTTACTAGCATTTTGGAAATATTAAGCATAAAAGTTTCTGTTATACCATGCTAATATGGAAAAGAATACCCAAAATGAAAGTTTTTGTGTGTACATAAACCACAGGATAAGGGTCAACATTTGGTCGATCCGAGTAAAATTTTGATCATTAAATTTGGATAGGGGCGAACATTCGGTCAATTTGAGTAAAATTTTCGGTCAATTCGAGTAAAATTTTGATCATTAATTAAACCAAAATTTATAATTAACTAAAATAAAAATTAATAGAAGTTATTAATCACTGTTCAATTAAAATAAAAATTGAAGCACTTTTAGCTTAATTTTCTACTTAATCAAAAGGATGTAATGAGAGATGATTAACTTGATTAATTCGGTTAAATTAACTTTAAAAGAAATATTTTAATTTTTTTAACTGAACTTTTAATCGGACATTTATTCACCAAACTGAATTAACCGAATGCTCACCCCACGATACACTAATTATAAATGAAAAAAAAATTAAATTGCTAATTGATCAAATTAAAACAAATTAATCACATGGAGATAATAATAGTATATGTTATTCAACCTCAATTTAATTTAAAAATTTGATCGATTTTACTTGCTAACTCAAGTTTTGTTTGTATGCATTGCTGTCCTGACACAATCAAAAATACCAAATAAAAAAAACCATAAAATGGAATTACAGGCCAAATCGAACTTATACCATAATTCCTTATGGACTACAAAATTGATATTTTTCTATAATAAGCCTACAGAATAAATTTTTTCTATAATAAGCAAAGCTAGAAATGCATACACCAATCGATTATCAACCCCAAACCATGTATTGTAAGTGAAATCCTAACACCTTGGCACTATAAAACGTGAACTAACCTAAAGAAATTTTAATCAAGCAAAAGAGTTAGAAACTCAATGTCAAGTCATAATGAGAGGAACGCTAAGGCTATTCTAATTTTAGTTTCTTTGATCACCTTCCTTCTTATAGGAGAAAAAGATATGCCAACCCTCAGCTACTATTGGTTCTTGGACTTTGTCCTCTTGCTCATCTAGGTTTAGTTCGTTGGGTATTCTTGGGCTGGCTTTTAAAAGCTTGGTTGGGCTACAGATGCTATAGTGAATTGGACCGAGGATTGAACATAAAAGAAGTAGGTGAACTTGAAGACATAAATTTGATAAGTACTAGTTGGAAAATGAGAATGAATGCAGAAAAACCAGAACATGGTGGCATTTCATATTAATTCTGCTATCACCTGATTGCCATTTAACATAGCTAACAACAAAAGAAAACAGATAATTAATCCATCCATCCAATCAACCATTTGACATAAATTTTTTTACCCAAAAACGAAAGTCCACTATTGCCTTCAGGCATATCAAATTTTGACTGAATTACTGCACATGTTAGATGAAATTCAAATTTAGGAAGTAAACAATAAGAATCAACCAACATGATACTGCAATTCTTCCATCTCCATACCTCTATCTCAAAGATGCATCTATCAACCCTGGTGCAATAAAGGAGGGAAATGAATTAATGGATGCTTTAAGATGAACATCAAGGAACTCATAGCAAATGCAAAAAGTAAAGAGTACCTCAACAAGAACAAACAAAATACAAACATTCGGCTCAATTACTTATTCCACTCACAGGATTGAAAATATTACATTTCAAAATACAAGTTTCACACGGGGCTTCCTGCTCTCATTATCAACAACAAACACTCATTCTATAAGGAAAAAGAAACTTTGATATTATACTTGAAACATGCCACTATTTCTTCAATCTAAATATTCCACTAATATATCCAGAAGGTCTTGGGCAATAAATTACTAAACTACTAAATATATTGCACATCTGTGTAATAATACTTTTTTCTACAAATAACAATAGGAAATCAAACAATAAAAGAACTTACATATATAATATTTGGTTGTGAGAAACATGATCAACTGGTTGCTGGAAGGAACACTCTAATAAGTTCTTTAACAGTGACTTTTTTCCTACAAGTAGGACATTTCGACTGTACTCCAATTGCAGCCCTAATGCAAGCCTTACAGAAAATGTGCCCACATTTTGTTGATGTTTCTTCAACAAATGGACCCATGCATATTGGACAGTTGAAGGTTGGCTCCTTTGGAGGTGGAGGTGGCTGCAGCTGTTGCGCATTATCTCTCTGCCACCAAACTATAAAAGTAAGCTTCACACCATTGAAAACATCCCATAAAATGTGTGAGATGAGCATGCCACAACTGTTAGTGATATGTTATTACTCCATTCTCCAATGCAATTAATTACAAAATTAAAAAAATAAATTGTATGCCAAGCACATAAATCAAGGCATCAGAGTGAATCCCACCAACAAATGCAGAGAGCAAGTCCACAAGGATTGTGCAGAAAAAACAACAATTGTCAACAGTAAGTTCCAGTCATAGAGCCAGAAAAGGTCTATTAACTTATTTAAACTTCAGCGTTTTAGGTCTTTCTAACAAATCTTATTTGCAAAAAAGTTCAAGATGAAATAGAAGGAAAACATGTGGGGCACACAAAAAGATCAGAAAGTATGAAAAAACAGTTAAGAGTAACTAATGCTGATCTTTCACCTTAAAGCAATTAAGAACAGTACACTGATCTAAAATCCATAACAACAAGACAACAGTGACTAGGAGGTAAGAAACGTGGAGCAAAAGCACATATATATGTAGAATTAAACGTTTCAGATATTACCATAGAGCTGCCACTGCTTTCCAAATTTACATAATGTTCACAATTAATAACTGCATGATTTGATGGACTTCTTCTGCGTTTATTGGGGTTATTATAAGTCAACCTAGTTGTTCGACCTGCAATGACTAACATACACAATTCAGTTGACTGAAGAAGCTAAACAAAGAGACAACATCACCAATCAATTTTGCTATACAAGCACTTAACACATGATGAAAACTGCTGTGACAAGAGCCAAAGGAAACGTTATGTTTACCGGAATCTACATCGACAACAACAGCATTTCCACAAGTTCTTTGGGTATGGTTCCTTTGAGCATTATTTCGTTGGGCATTGCTCTTAGCCTAGCATACAATAAAACAAAATCAAGAATATTCATTTGGTATAAGAACCCTAATATGTGGAGAGAGAGAGAGAGAGAGAGAGAGAGAGAGAGAACAAACTTCAGCAAAAGCCCTTGGGGATGATTCAATAACGTCATCATCAATGGCCTCAACATCAATTGTATTAGCTGGTATGGGCCGCACTTGTTGGCTTGCTTGCACTTCCTGCAGCACATTCTGAGCTGAAGTTCCTTCCTGATCCCTGCTTTCACTTGGAGGCACATTTAAGTCCAGCATTGTCTTCCTCCTCCGATACCCCCTTAAGGGAGGCCCCCTCATCCCCTGGGCCTGAGTGCTCATGCTCTTTCTATGATCTTCCAATCAAAAATTTCAGTCTTCAAAACCTAAAATTGCACAAAATAAAAATTAAATAGGGTCAAAGTAGAGCTTTATTAGATAAATTCACCCACTTAGTTCCTATTCTTTTTTAAGAAAATTATTCTATATCGCTTAAACTGATACCCAAACAGATTAATGGGCAGCACTATAAACCCCCAACTTTACGCAATTATATTATCAATTTTACTATTTCAAATCCCGAACCTTAGCGTTTGAAAAATAAAAAGGTAAATTTATTCACATACACAAGAAAAAAATATACATCCAGCACTAAAAAATACACTCAAAGTTCTTACCTTTAACTTTGTCTGCTTCCAAAATTCAAACTTTCGATTTAAAATTCATCATCAGTAATCAATTTTTCGATAGAAATTAAAATACTACACTCTAACATTTACAAATCAAACGGTTAGTCAACGATGCTTTTCAATAATCAGAACAAGAAAAATTCAATCAAAACTTAACCACACATACAAAATTTAGAAAGGAATTGTTTTCTTTTCTTTGGTAGCAAATCAAAAGGCCACTCCATTACTGAATTGAAACATCTATTTAAAATATCAAAACTAAAAAAATTCAAATTAGAGAAAGAAACCTTCAATCTAATACCTCCCAAATCGAATCGATTAGCTTCTACATATAGAAAAATCGATATCAAAAGGAGATTAAGGAATCTTGTCCTTTCAAATTTTTCTAGGGCTTTGAATAGGGAAGGGATTTGAAGAGGCAGGACTAGGGAGGAGGTGGAAGAGAGGACTGTGAAGGTACAAAACGCAAAATACCATGACTCGAGTATTGTTTCTCTGACACGCGGGTCGGTTAGGACTGAACGATAACCACGTGGCACAATTCGTAAGGCGTTACGTAGATCCTTGCATATACAGCGCGTGCCTGTTAATGTTTTTTGGGTGACGTTACTGGGCGCGTCGTCCACGACGCTGAATTTGTTTTCTTAAAAAGAATTTATAGAATAAAATTCAATTTGGTTCCTTAGCGTACTTAGAGAGAGAAAAATATAATGGGCCAACCCGATAAATGGAATACTTGTTGTGAAACTTTTTAATGGGCCGGTACGTGGCAAAGCAAACTTCTAAACGGTCACTTCAAGGAAGTTTAAATATTGCTATTAAAGAGGAGCAATAAAAAATTTAAAAAAAAAAAGAGGACAATGAGTTGAGAACTACTAATTAGTTGACACGTGGTACAATTCTCCTGTCTCTTTCTAGAGAGCAAAGGTATGCATTCTCAAAGGAGACTTTTGCAAACAAATTGTGCAAGACACTGGAGAAAAGATTTATGAAGAAAAGCATTTTTTTTCTTAATTTGTAGCTAGTGCAGAGTCACTGCAATTTTTCGTGGAGTATCATATTCTCAAAATACTCAAACTCATCAGGAATAGATTCTAACAACATGAAAGCCAAATCTTTATCTTTAAAAGTCTCACCAAAATTCATCAAATCAACCATTAACCCATTGAAATTCATGATGTGATATTCATATTTGTTTCGGAAATATAAGTAAAGTGAAACAATCTCTTCTTTGTATAAAGCTTGTTTTGATCATTTTTCTTCATAAATGTTTCCTCCAGTACCTTCTATAATATGTTTGTAGAAATTTTCTTTAAGAACGCATATTTCTGCTCTCTAAAATAATATGGGTGAATTGTACCGCATGTAATCGATTATAGTTTTCCACTCATTCTTTTACGTTTCTTATGGTTTCTCCTATTCAGTAGCAATATCTAGACTTTACAATTCGTTGTGCCACATGCCAAAATGGCAAGACCATAAAAAATTTTCACAGTAGATCTTGCGTTTCTCACAGCATTCTTTATTAAAACAAATGAGAAGGAAGTTGTCGACACTAAAAGCATGGAATTTTAGATGTTATCTTTGCTTGACTTTCTATGTAATAGTGAGAAACCGGACATGGAAATCAATTTCTTTTCAATGCAGAATCCAACAACCAAGATTCTTTCCTGACATGGAAAATCAAACCAAGATGCAACCACAGAAAATACTTAGAAACCGCATTTCAATGCCAATGACCGCAGAAGTTGTGATATCTTTTACCAATTATTGTTCACGTGAATAGTATGCATACATGTGAATCTACTTATATACGTGCATAGTAAGTGGACAAATGTGCAAAAAATTACACGAGGTAAATTCCTGAGTAATTGGAATGGTAACAAGTGGCCTCACTCAAAATATAATTAACAAGGCATGTAATTAATAATATAATATATCATTATACTGATATATGGTCTGATTAGTCTTCTCATTTATGTAAAGAGTGAGAAGTCTCACGTTCGAATCATTTTAACTACAGTTGTTTTCACCAATTTAGTGAGTTTATATTATTATTTCGGCTCATGTGGCAAAAATTGAATTTTAAGTAGATACTATCATGAATAGTAATTACTAAAAATATCATATAAAATTAGAGTTAATGAAATCTTGGGTGTGCAAATCATCAACCTAATTAAAAATGCATAAACTGAAATTTTTTAATACCTAAATTAAACTAATGAGTTTTCTCACATAATAAAATAAAATAAATTTTATTTTATTTTATTCGCTTCTATTTTTTATTTTTTGATTTTATTTTATTTTTTCTACTGTTTTCAATTTTAATAAAAACCAAACGGAATATTATATGATGAATGAAATTATACCATTGATTTTGGTTAAAATCGAAGATTTTTTGTTTGAAAACATCTATAAATAATCACTCGTTTTTTATATTATTCTTATTAATTTAAATGATTTCTTTTCAGCTCTAATTAAATTTATTAGTTTAAATTGATCAGGTATGTAATTATCATTTACAAAACCAATGGTAAACCTTATGATATTTTGGACAGAGATGATCTTAACAAATAAGAATTCTCTCAATATTTTTCAATTTGAATCGCATCGTATTCTAGAATAGTGGTATGACTTATGAGCATTAAAAACCAACATCTACTAAAAAATGAAAAAAAATATTTAACGTCTCATTAGTCTAAATAAAATATATTTATTTCTACTTTCACATAAATTAAGAAAATATTATTTAAACATAATATGAGTATTAAATATGGATACATTAAAGAATAATCTATATATTTCAACATATTAATTAAGAAAATATTATTTAAACATATATGAGTATTAATATGGATACATTAAAGAATAATCGTATATATATATATAATATATATATATAATTAATATAATTATATATATATTATATATTTATATATATATTATATAATATAAAAATTTTAAGCAACAAATTCTTTAAAAATGCTTACTTAGCAACTCTCTTCTTAAACATTTATATTTTTTCTTTTTTTATAATATTTTTAAATTTTAATTAATTTCTATTCATTTTTTCATATTTTAATCTTAATATATCACAATAATCTAAAATTTTAAATAATTAATACTTTAATTTTTTAATTTTAAAATTAAAACTTTCAAAACTTTTTGAATATTTTTTCTTATTTATATCTATCTACATGTATCTATACCTATCTATATATACTTCAATTCTAATGATTTTCTTTTAGAGTGGTTGTCTTATTTTTTTCTCTTTGGTTCCTTTTTAATTCTTTGAGTTTTGATTATTACTTTATTTATTTATTTATTTATATATATGTATGTCCAATTCAGATATACTATTGCCTTTTTATTCGCGATCGAGGTAATGTTAACTCTTTGATCTTTTTTTTCCCTTTTTTTTTTTCTTTTTCAGAATTTTTAACCTTTTTGTGCAATCTTTTAAGGGTTTTTTTTTTTTTTTTTTTTTTTTTTTTTTTTTTTTGTGCATCTCATGACTTTTCTCCTCTTTAATCTTGAATTTTTTTTTAATAATATTTTTATTTGTTAAATGTTCCAATTGTATGTTCAATGCTGTGTTTTTTTTTTTTTTTTTTTTTTTGTGCATCCCATGACTTTTCTCCTCTTTAATCTTATTTTTTTTAATAATATTTTATTTGTTATGTTACCAATTGTATGTGTCTAATGTGTGTAAGTACAAGTATGAGAAATATTATGTTGATGGAGATGAAAATAAAAGAAAAACTAATTATAAATGCATTTTTTAAATTTATTTTTTTTTAGCAAATTATATAAACCTGTAAATTGTAAATTTAATTTTTGATTGGATGGTTTAATTTTTTTGTGTTCGTTTATTTATAATAATTATCTATGTTTACATCTTATATATTTTTATTATTGTCTTTATAGATGGAATTTTTTTTTGTATGTCTTAAAAATTTATAATTTTTCAAAAAATTTTAACTAATACTTATTGTGTAGGACTTTTGTACTGTATGCATATACTTTTTTTTATTTGCTTTTTTTTCATTTCTATGAAGTTGTAGGAATTTTTTATAAATATTTATTTTTTATGAACAATAAAAAATAATCTCTAATGCAATATACAATAATAAAATAACAAGACAGCCTACGTTAGCTTCCTCCTAGTTAAAAAATTAATTGTAGTCCCAAGAAGAAGTGGTCAATATTTGAAATAAATAATCTTTATAAGACAAACCGATCATTTCTTTCACTTTCAAATTGAACCGGTTGTGTTGTGAAATAGTTAATTAAATCATATATCTTACATTTTAAGATTATATTTAACAATAACTTTTTAAGTAGCTTTTTAATATTTAATTAATAAAACGTTAAGCGTTATTTTTATAGTACTCAATAACATAACATTTGAATTAGTTTTTAGAGATTAAAATGATATTTTATAAAAGATTAATTCTTATAATATTTAGCTTTTAAGATTTTATAAAAAGCTATTCAAATAATTAAACGCTACTAAAAATAACTAACAGCTAATTTTGTTCGACAAATCCTAAGTAAAATTGGAAAACAAGGACAACTAATATAAACTTGTGATTTTAATTAAAAAATTTTATAAAAATTAAAATGAGTTTTAAATTCAATTAACAATGTCACTCTCTAAGCATTTCCTTTATATGGTAAAACGTCGAGAGGGAGGCAAAATTACAGTGCATAACAGTAATATTCTGTATTAATAAAGAAATTATTGTCTGCCGACAGATTTTTACGCTTTAATAACTATCCGTTGGATTAGAATACTAATAGCAAAACTGTTGACTGCTAAATATGTTTATAATTTAATATTTTCTTTTCTTTTTTTCATGTAAAATTTAAGAGAAAGCACCCACCACCATTTTAGCTATAGCATAATGCTTTGTCTATCCCTTACCACCATGCCAAAGACCTGTATATAAGTCTTCAATATGGTTGTTGCATCAATATTAACCTTGATACAGTCATCTTCTGGACTCCATTAAATAGTTTCTTCTCCAGCGTTTTCAGCAGGCAATGCATCATTCACCTGTGCTAATTTCCAAGCGTGGAGATCAGATCCTGCCCTCTGAGACTGCAGAATTACATTTTTGGCTTTTTATAATTTTATAAAAGAATATTATATTGCATATCTTCATCCTCTTTCAAAATCACTGAATCCTTTTGTTGACTTAGAGAACTATGGTAAGATTGCATCCTTACTCCCTAAATTAATCTAAGATTGTTTCATTAACTCTTTAATCACAATCAAAAGGACAAAAACAATATTGGATATTGTCGTTGCCGTTACTAGCTTTCAAATTCAAATTATGAAAGTACAAAGGAAGAAAGAAGAAAAAGAAAAGCCAACAGAAGTAAATCAATACCCACCATGATCATCAAAACGAGAGAAGAAAACCACCAACTACCGTCGCCGCCGAGAGAACTCTTGCAAGAGCTCCAACAATTAAAGGTCAATGAGCTTCTCCTCCACGGATAATAGCAAGAGTCTGTACAGCCAAATATTCCATTCATTAACGCTGGAATATCATCCAAACCCAGATATCTTTTTTAAGCTTCAAAAATCCCTCTGTTTAATTCTCTACAACCGAGTTGAGCCATAGTTAAGGCTTAAAGATTTCACCAAGCACTCAAAGATTGTGATAGTAGTAAAAGTGAAAATAACAAAACCTAAATAGAATAGAAGAGAGAATAGAAACGAAGTATGCAAATATAAAATTTGATGGATAATTAATTTTAAAAAATAATTTAATTGATCAAGCAAACCCATTGCTGCAGAAATTACATATTCTGTATAGTAGCAAAAGCCCGAAAGGGACTGCAATTTTTTTTTCCGCTTAAACTGCTGAAGCCTGAGACAGATAAACAAACAATTTCACAATTGCTCTCACAGCAATTTCACACAGAAATACTGATGAGTCATAACTAAAACTAAAACTTACAGAACTTCTAACAGTGAAATTGGGCTATCAACATCAATTAACTAAGCAAATGAAGTAGAGATAACCACATAAGCTTCACAAAAGAAGAAACATACCAACATTTCAATATTAATAATTGTCTGAATCCTGGTTATCAAGAAACGACTCAGCCTAAAAGCTCAAGCTTGTAGGGTGGCCCATAAATGGATTATATTTCTAATGATGGTGCTAGACATGCACCAACACTAATCCTTGGCCAGTGATTTTGATAAAGCACGTTGCACAACCATACATAGCTAAAATTGCGAGGAAAAGCTGAACGCATTGTATTTGTCATTTGTTCATGGAGAAATAGTTACTCACAATGAGAAGATTCCATGCAGCAGGTATTCCATGCTCTAAATCATGGTGATAACAATCATCTTCTTAGTTCTTACTTCTTACCCAGCAAAAGCCACAAAGGATTGGTTGACCTGGCTTGGCTAAGTGAAAAACACACAAAAAATATTTTCTATGCACTTTTCATGCCCCTGTCAATCAGATTATGAAATTTCTTGGTATTTGCACAACATAATTTACAGATAATAGTTCTCCTAAAGCTTTTCGCAAAAAATATACAAGAAAAAATTCAAGTTAGAATACTTCAAGATTTGGGATTAAATCATAAGGCACTTGATAACTTCAAAGGACAAACTCTGTAATCACTTCATGGCAATACAAAATAGTTTCTGTATTACTATCATCCAATTAATTTTAGTATGAGCAAATACCAGTTGAATGGAATTCATGTTCCCTTCCGTTGTCATACTTTTAAAGGAAACAGAGAACGGTCTGAAAATTTAAATTGAGTCAAAATATGAATGTTCATATGATGATATGTAACCTTATCAAAATACTGCCTTCGGTAAGCTTCTCTTTTTCCTAAGAAAAAAATATTATTTCCAAGATTCTAGCAGACAGCCAAAAGTTAGAAAAATGTTTCTAACGAAAAACGTGGAATATTGGCAAGATAATGGCATGTAAATAAACCACAAATTATGGTTTTCAAAGAAAACATAAGCTTCTCATAAGGAGATGCTGAAGGATGAAAAGGTAATTACCAGAAAAGACAGGAAAAGAAATGTGAGTATGATGCACTCTCATGGATCAAATAGCTTACCTGATAAGTGATAAAGAAACAAAAAATATCACCTCTAATAAGTAAGAAGAGAACAGTCAACTTTGCAACCATATATAGAAAGCATAAATGAATGAGACTTTTCTTTCCTGTCTTCTGTTTTATATCAAACTAGGAATAGTCTTACCTTTCTGCAGAGTGCATTCTGCCATAGAGCTCTCAGTAAAGACTTGCCTTTCAGAAACACAACCCTTCGTGAGAATTAGTGGACCATTCTGGAGTATACACCTTGCACTTGCAGAGAAAGCATAGCAAAAAGGAATACTCCAGATAACAATGTCCTAAAAACTGTCAACTTCTTATACCAAGCTTATACCACATCAGACTCTTAATGCTTTGATACAACAAAGGTGAGGAAATCAAGAATTCAAGAAGGTTAAATATCAGGAAATTTTTCATATTTATGATTTAGCAACCATAGTACTGAAATGACTATGAGATATATCTGTTGCATTTGATATCGAACTATGAAAAAGAATTTGCAATTTCTGTAAAATATTTGTACCTAACAATATCATCTGTGCCTTGATGACAAGAAGATAGACATTGAAGGGGAAAAATAACAAAGAAGAAGAAATTCTTGATTGGCTAAAATCAAATTTGATTTTTGCATTTATGAACCATTTCAAACATGGCAGAAAAATTAATTATAAGGACACAAGCATACAGCCTTTTTTTTTTTTTTTTTTAATTCTTGATTGGCTAAGAATCAAATTTGATTTTTGCTATTTATGAACCATTTCAAACATGGCAGAAAAAATTAATTATAATAGGACATCATAGCATACAGCTTTTTTTTTTTTTTATTTGTTGGGGGGGGGGTGTGGGAGGACAGGGAAATTAAAAGAAGAATGAGAGATCTATCTATGTTAGAATACAAAGTTCTAAGTCAGAGCTTCTTCAGTTAAATCTGATCATAAAAATTAGTTCGACCTGCACTTTGTCTAAAACAGATCCATGAAGGATTCAAACAACTTTTTTTTTTTTTTTTTTGGGGGGGGGGGGTGTGGGAGGACAGGGAAATTAAAGAAGAATGAGAGATATCTAGTTAGAATACAAAGTTCTACATCAGAGCTTCTCAGTTAATCTGATCATAAAATTATTGACTGCACCTTTGTCTAAAACAATCCATGAAGATTCAAACAACTCATGGAAGAACTCTGCTCCAATCTCCTCCGCTGCATTTCTAAATGCAACTCCAAATGCATTTCCTTGAACTGCACCAAGTCGTGGCTTTCCACAAACCCCAACAATCAACATCTTGTTTGGTTCTTGTGATAAGCATGCACAAACCAAGGGCTTTGCTCTAGCTCCTTTCTCTCTCAAGGCATCCATAATAAAGTAACAGAATTTAGTCAAAGCCTGTGGGTATCCCAACAGCTTTGTGTCCACTGAATCCTCAAGCTTTACCCATCGAAACTTCCTTCCACTTCTGACAGAACCACTTTTTGTAATTGCTGTACTTCCTTGTCTAAGAATTGCCCGTTGTACCTTGATTGCTTGTTGCATTCCAATTTTCAACTTATCAAGATTGTTTAAGGACAATGCATCATATGCCACTCCAAATTGCTTAGAAGCACAAGAGCCATCAGAGTTCACAAATGACTCTAGCAAGGCAGTAACTCCATAGACCACATCTGCTGCAGAAACCCTGGAGCTATATCCATGTAACCTCAAGAAACTCCTGTAGTAAAAATCAGTGAGCCCATATTCAGGTAAAAACCGTTCAAATTCATCTTTCATTTTTCGTTTAACTTCAAGATTCATGTACTGAAACTTCTGTTGGCAATCCACAAGTGCAAATCCCATTCTTGCAAGGAGAAGCTTAAGCTTCTTCATTCCATTGTCACTCCAGGTTTTCAATTTTGGGGCAATATATGAAGAACACAGCATTGAATCAAACAAATTCCACTCCCTTAACAACATAAGCCTTGGTTCATCTTCATATTGAATCCTTGATGTTTCAGGGGCTCGAATTTTTGTTCCATCTTTAAGAGTCACCACAGAAACAGCCTCCAGATTCCCTGAACTGTTGATATGTTGCTCAAGCTCCATAACCCCAGCTTGGTACCTCTCATCTGTTAATCTCTCATGAACAAACTGATCAGTTAGGGAAACACAAGCTAGCCAAAGCAATTCATTTGTGTTTTTCCTCAAGGAATGTGATAAATCGTACATCAAACATCCTGACGGCTTTCCATGGAAAGTACCCATATGATAATATTCCCTCTTCAGTTTCCTGAAAAGTTGAACCGGGTCGTTATCTTTAGAAACCCTCCGTCGCTTCCTTGACCCACCATTTTCTTCCTCTTCTCCATCACTTTCACTGTCCTCTCCTTCACTATCTGAACTCTCCCCACGGTCATCATCACTATTCAACTCGCTTGCATTTGCCAAAGCCGAAACATCAAAATCATAAGCTAAATCAGCTTGATGTTCATCATCATGAGTATAAAGCACAATTACACTATCATTGTGCTCGCTGAGGTTATGCAAATGAATTGGGCGGTGACTATCAATTACAAAAACACGTGCTCGAGGGCCAAGATTGAGTAACCGTCGCAGATCACGCTGGCAACCCCAATTTATTAAGAGTATCGAAACGGGTTCACTTGAAGATGAGCTAAGATCAGAACCTGCATATTTATTAATTTCTTGGAAAGAAGAGACAGGATAGCAAGAGTAACGGACAGAATCAGATTCAAGGATGTGGAAAATGACTTTAAGAGCACATAATGAATCAACGTCAGAAGTTGAGGGAAAAATAAGTAGAGGAGACAGCGATGAACCAGAGATTGATTCTTTAAGGCGAGTGTAAAAAGATTCAACTCTTTGCTCTCTCACCATAATAATATCCAGAAGAAAGAGGCAACAATCGGGTATTATCTCAAAATGCTCAAATTTGAAAAGAAAGAGCAGAGATCAACAATGGAAGCTCAAATTTTACTCATTTTGCTTGCATAATTGCTCAACTGAGTAAACAGAATTAGGGGAAAATTAGAAAAGGGGAATTCCGGAGAATGAATTGAATTGGGTCATTATTTGATAATGTTCAAAATGTTAATCATACAATTTCTTCAAAAATTACGAAAGAAATAAGATTAACAAAAATTAAACAGGAAAGGTTTCTATAGCAGCTCAATTCAGTCCCAGTAGAAACTCGCATAAACAAACGATAAACAAAATTTTAGAGAACGAGAGAGAGATTGCTAGGAAGAGCTAATGATGAAGTACCTGAGATTTGTTGAGAAAAAGAAATCTTCTGTTCTATTCAACTCTCACATCCCAGAAGCCCAGATCTCAAAGAGAGAGAAATAGAGTCCTTTTTTTCTAAGTTTGCAGGAATAAAAGATTTAAGTTTTGAATTCATAGTTTTTCTGTGAAATTTAAAATTTTCAATTGACCGCTAACTTTTCGCGCTAGCTTGTATTTGTACTGTGACGGCCAGACCTAGGGTTAGGATCACGTGTGATCGACCTCAGCGTAATAGCTTCTTTTCCATTAGCGTCGCACGTGAGGGGGAATTAATATTTAGTCCATATAATTTCATAAAATTGACTATTTAATCTCTATCTTTTGACAATGGATTATTTCATCCTTGTAGTTGTAATTTTTAGACCAATGTCAATCCATAAAAAAACTTACTCCCTTCGTCCCAAAAAAAGCAGTCAATTTTTGATTTTTACACAGATTAAGAAAATATCAATTATTATGATTAAAAGACAATTTTATTCTATAACTTTTTCATCTTAAATAATTCACGAATAATTATTATATTAGAATAATAACTAAGAATTTAATGAAGGTTATTGAAAATAAAATAAATTTAATAATATGATATAATAAACAATTTAAGGATTAACAATAATATAAAAAATAAAAGTAGACTATATTTTGTAACAAAAAAAACTGGAAGAAATACTAACTTTTTCTATCAAAACCCTCGTGTAAAGATACACGCACTCATATCTAATATATAATGTGCAATTATTTTTCCCCTCTCTCATATGAAAATTATAAAAATTAATCTCAATCAAAACCTATAAATAAACTATACTCCAAACAAAAAAATTACATTATAATTAAATAAAATCCATAAAAAAATCCGATTTATAAATAAATGTAAGTTTGTGTTTCCAACAGGTATTGAACGAAAAAATAAAAATTTTTGAAGAAAAAACTTACCACTCCAACGAAAGCAAACCACAAAGATTAAATTATATATATTTTCAAAAGATAAGAATTCAATAATTAATTTCAACAGAAACTATTAAAGTACTTGGATACGATGATACAAATAGGATCTCGTCTCTCGTACAATTACAACTCACAGCATTCAATTTTTTTTTTTTTTAAATTACTCTCTTAGCTGATTTCAAAATTTTCATCCTAAGGTTTCAAAAAAAAAAAAAAGGCATTCCAATTTTTTTTTTTTTTAAATTTACTCTTTATGGCTGATTTGCAAAATTTTCTATCCTAAAGGTGTTCAAAAAAAAAAAAAAAAAGAAAAGATTAATTATTACTTATTATTAGTTACATTTAGTTATAGAATATACAATTATTAATAAAGTAGAAAACAAATTTTTATTGGAAAGACAATTTGGTTCAAAAAAAAAAAAAAAAAAGAAAAGATTATTATTATTATTATTATTACTTTTAGTATAGAATATACAATTATATAATAGAAAAACAAATTTTTGATGGAAAGACAAATTTGTTCAAAGATTGTCAAAGTCCAAACCTAAATAGTGTATTTTGAAGAATACAAAGACTCGGTAGTTAATTTCACCAAGCTAAGGATTAAATGATAAAATAATTTTTAAAGTTGGAGAAATTAGATTGGAATCTAAAATTATTATTAAACTAATCAAACCACCGCGCTTTTACACGAGATGTACAATTTTATTATTTTTGAAGAATTTTAAATAACATTATAGTAATCATATATTATTATGAGTGCAATATTTAAGAATATGGGCTAAACCTATAAAAATATTCTCAAATTTATGATTTGTTGTAAAATCACTCACATCTATACTCCAGCACCTCATTTCGAAATTTATATATATTAGCACCATATTTTTAAATGAAAACTAAAGTTTAAAATAAAATAATATAAACATAGGACCCACAAGCATATCCTTGGGTTAACTTAACCTAAGGCTTGTAAAACACATCGTTTTATGGCTCTTTTGTGCTTTTTCTCTCTCTTTCGTTCTCTCTTACGCTGGGGTGTTGAAGCAGAGGAAAACAACATCATTGAGGAAGCAATAGACTCCAATTCATTTAAAATTAACTCGTGCCAACTCACCATCAACATCAATCCCAGATCTCGCATCAGAAAATTTTGAATGGAACCCGAATTTCAATCCGGATACTCCACCATCGAAACCATAATTGGATCCTGCAAAACCTTCACTCCACCATCAAATATCATCTTTGATTTCTTAGACAAAGATGATTTGAAGGTCTTCTTGCTAAATAATTGCTGCTTAAAACCCCTAAAGCTACTGCATCTACACAGTGGTTTCTTTTGCTTATCATCTTTGTTTTCATCCTTTACAAGCATTATATTTGTTTGCTTATTATTTTCCGTTTCATTCTGTACTTGCAGTATATATTTTCTTCTTCTTTTATATATTTATATAGATATAGATAGATGGTAGATTTACTTATTACCAGGTTATACGTGGTGTACAAAATGTAACGGATTATTGAGTTACTTATTCTTCTTCTTCTATCAGTATTACAACCAATAAATATAACAATACCTAGCAGAGAGCCATTAGGCTGCTGGCCAATGATCCAAATGGCATACATATTTATAAATATACACTACGTATTGGAACTGATGACATTCAACATTATGCAGGATTATACACAGAAAGATCCTAGAGAGAGAGAGAGAGAGAGAGAGAGATGAAAAGTATAATTTGCAGATTTTACAACTTCTATCACTCCAATTCTTCTTTCATGATATGCAGATCATAGTGACTTCAACTAAACAAGAAGCATACAATTTGCACATATCAAGTACCAAAGCAGCAAATTTGCAATCATAAGCTCCAATTGGGATTATGTTAGATGTTGCTTTTGAAAACTGCATTTTGACGCTGTTTTTGTTTTGTTACACTGTGACTTTCTTCTCAAAAATTTATTTTGATTGCTTTTGGTAAACTATATAGGGGAAAAGGCTAAATGATGTAGCTTATGATTGCTCATAAAATGGTTGCTCATTGGAAGCAATGACAAATATTAACAACAGAAGAAACACCAACATGCCTGTGACAATGCAACATGTGAAAGTGCCTGTGAAAATAATGTTCTCATGGACGCATGTCTCGGAATAAACAGGAGCAATACAAGCAATGCAAACAGGAAAATATAATGTGTAGATTAGAATAAAAGAATTTGTATCTGGTTCTTTCCAGCCGAAT